AAATATCTAAAATTATGATAAAAATGGAGTTACTTTTTATATATTACATAAAAAGTGTCAACATGAATTGGTATTTTTTTATTATTTATATTAATTTGTAGGTTCTTTCTATTTATTAAAAGTAATATAATTGGATATATTACTTCTTTATTATTTTCTCAACATCATCTTCCAATTTTATCTATAAAAAGCGAAAGTGTTAAAAAGATTTTTAAAACAAAAAAATTTTGTTTTATTTATGACATTGATGTTTTAAATAAAACTAATCAATATTCATAAATTCATAAACGAATTATTTGAAAATAAAATAAATAAAGCAATACAACAAATCCATTATTAATTTAAAAAAAAATGGAGAGTGAACGTGAACATGAAGGGTACAGAAGAGGTTATTATAGCGAAGCTATAACAGATTTAAATACAACCCTTAAAGGGGTTACACAAGGTGGAGCTTTTAAAAAAACGAAACTCTTGTGGCAAGTTCGTACGGAACATCATGCCCCGATTATCCGAAGTCTTCACCCACCGAAAAAACGCAACTTTTTAGCCCCAGCTGAAAGATGGATGTGTTACGAAGAGGAAAGATCACTTGTAATTATTTCTTTAAATCCAGTCAATTATAAAATACGTTATGATTCTTATTAATAAAATATATTTTAAAATAGTGCTTTCCGGTGGATACATTCGAACCAAAAGTACAAATGCAGCATGAAATAATTCCATTTCTTCTTCCACGAAATGTGGCAATCGAAAGAAAAAGAAGGCAATATCAAGAGAGAACAATAAGAGAGTGTTTATCAAATTTAAATGTAAATTTAAGAAAATTAATTCCTTATAACGTTTTATGGGCTGCTGAAACTGTGGAAGGAAAATATGGTTTATATCCAAAAGTAAATTATTTGCCATTAGAGCTTTTCGATAATGAAGAATATGATGCTAGGTAAATTAAAATGTTTTTAAAAAGAAAATTTTAATGATAATTTTTTTCTTTTATTAAGAACTCCTCAAGGTTGGTTAGATCATGGTCTTCTCGATGGTTTTCGACATCCCCTTCCCGGCGAAGCTTTCATACCAGAAGATATTGATCCGGATGAAAATATACCCGAAAAGGAACGGCATTTAATGTACGATTGGACAAACGTTGCCGTACTGGATTATATTCGTGATAAAAAACTTTGGAGTATTTTAACATTAGATGGGAAACAAAGACCGTTTCAAGTACCCCGGATTTACTTAATGTTTAAAGCCGAGGATCCGGAAATATTCGCTAAACGACTAAAAAGCGCCATCGATTTGAGGGATTATACGGAAGGTGTTATTCGTTACGAATTTTATGTGGATAGTATTTGTTCGACTGGCACCTATGATATTGATGATAATACGTGGGACAAAATTTATAATTCAGCCACAAGAGGAAAACAAATTTTTAAATCTGATTATGTAATTGAAGTAAGTAATAGTTATTTTTTTCTCAATTTGATTTTCTATTTTAAACAAAATTTGTTATGCATGAAACGTAATCATATTCTTTACAAACTTATCTGCGTCTTGTGATCAAATTCAGTGGCATATCTTAATTAATTACACTTAATTAATTGTGGAAAGGCCTTTACGGGCATTAACACTTTTCTGAGTTTCTCACTCTGAATCGATTTATATCTTCCTTGAGTGATTTCAGGATTTCAGAGGGACGTCGAGCAGAATCTCTTCGTTGTAGACGTAATACGACGTAACAACAACAAAAACTTTGCCGTATCATTCGAGCTAGGAATCATCGGAATGTTCTTGATTTAAAGAAAGTTTAAATCAACAAAGTTTTTTACATATTTTTGTAAGGTTTATTGATGTACTACTTTTACATATTCGACAGACCCATCACACAGAACCTTAACCGATTTAGGGGCTAAAACCATGGTAAGTGTGGTCCAGTTGGTGTCATCGATAAAACATTACTATTTAACCCATCATATCTGCAGATGAATTCATTGTTTTAAAAAATCCTCTGGCACGTTTGGACCCAGGGTTACTGAATACAATGTTCAAAGCAGGTAACATATTTGTTTTGGCATCACAGTCTGGTAAACTAACTTCTGTCCATATGAAAAATACTACTAAATGTGTATTTTGTAAGTAAATTATTCGTATTTGTTCATTTCCGGTACGTCATATGGGTTTCAAATAGGTTTCGAGATGATTAGTTTCCATTTACTTTCCATTAGGTCTTCTTTAGAATGCTATAATACATCTGAAGCAGGCCATTTCCATTTAAAACTTCTGCTCTTCATCATAACTTACTATCAAACCACACTCCAAGACTTTTTATCATTGAGATACCTGACAGGTCCACTCCAAGCACATAATCATAAAGTGTGATGTTACGTTTCTGACTGTATGTCATTACCTAGCATTTGGAAGTATTTAAGGTTAATTTGCTCAAAACACCACAAATAAAGTCTGTCTAAATCTCATTGGAGTGATTCAAAATGCTGTCTCTCAAAAATAGAACACAACAAAGAACAACAAAGGACACAAATTTCACTCCAACGGGGTTCGTCGTGGAGACTTTAAATATAGACGCACAAACATCTTGGGCCACGGCCGGGAGCAAAAAAAGGAGAGTCGAAGTAAAAGCAAGGAAAGGTAACCAGTTTCGATAAATTGAAGAGTTTAAAAGTATAAATCATTTAAATAGATGTTGAACAGCAAAGGGCCAAGTATGGATCCCTGGGGACGCCTCTAGTAACATTGTCTGCGATGAGATACATAAGATACCAGAAATCGTGTGAGAAAGTGATCACATCCAAACCTCTCTAACTTTTCAACCAACAAACCATGGTCCAAGTTATCAAAAGCCCTTGAAAAGTCAGTATATATCACATCTACATAGAAGATACATGCTTTCAAAATAATCGGCGAACATATCAACTACTGTTGGTAGATCAGAAAAAAATTCACCATCGCGTTTGAGAATATTTGGTGAGACAGCACTGTTTCTGGCCATGTTAACAAATCTCCAAAAACTCTTTGGGTCTTCTTTCATGTTCTGTTCCAAGGACCTTACATATTTCCGGCGATCCTTTCGCATATTGTTTTACAGTTCCAGCGGAGACGAACATACCTTGCTCTATAAAAAGAGTAATTGATTCGTTTAGATAGTTTGTGGTAGTATTTTTTTAGTTTAAGCATTCGCTTTAGATTAGTATAGTACCATAAAGGATATTTAGACTTTATGTGTTTTCCGATGGGTTTTTGGCACATACTCAGGACACTATATAATGTTGTATAGAAAACATCGCAGGATAATTCAACTGATGATAAAGACTGCAGTCAATACTCAGAATTGTATTGTATAAGTCGTGCAGGTTAGCTCTTTTGGAGCAATACTGGGTTTGTCGGTATATATTTTGGACCGTAAGGAACTGAGGTGCAGATGTATTTAGAGTTTCCAACAATGCTGGATGATAATTGCCTTCGCGAACCAAAGCAAAATCGGAGTGTATCACATTAAGATTTATGGGTAAAGAAGCAAACATCAGATCGAGTGTTCTATCTATGATATTACCCACATTATTTGAATTTTATTTGACGTTATTTGATTGTTGAAACTAAGAAAGTTAGCAGCTCATTCATCGTTCATGATAGCAAGTGATGGAATATTAAAATCGCCCAGGATCAAGGTATTCAGTGACATATCCAGTGACGAATCAACATGATCAAAAGTACGATAGCACATTTCTCCAGGTGTAGCCGGCGGAAACAACAACATTCAGAACATATTTCGACTTTTTAAATTCAATTCTTGCAGCTCAGCAGGTCAACACAACTTTTGAGACTGCAATATCAGAGTCAATGGCCAATAATATTTCGCCACCCCTACGGTGAGGTCGATCGCATCTAAAAACGTCGTATCTATTCGGGAAAATCTCGTGATCAACAACTGTTTCTTTGAGCCATGTCCCACTAAGCGCAATGATGTCGAAATCTGAATCGATATGAAAATGTCGTTAATTTTTGTGTTTAAACCACTAGTATTCTGGTAATATAGTATAATGCATACTATGTCCGTTGGGAGACAGTTAGTATTTTTTGCTGACAATTCGAGGATACCATTAAGGAATTGTAAACGCAAGTCTCAAAACTCCTGTTGTCGTAGAGTTCGGTCACCATTAATATAAACATTTTTTAAATTGACAGTCTCGCAACACCTTATCTCGTCTTAAAATCATTCCTGCTTCCGACTTATTCTCAAATACTACTTTAACAAGTCTAGGCCGCTTTTCTGTAGATAGGAGCTTTCCCAATCTAAAAACTTTCACAATATTTGGAGATGTCTGAACAACATCCTTAAGTATGGCTTGAAGATTATCACATTCTACGGCCTCCGCTTATGGTCATTAATTACCTTGTCAATATGTTCTTTTTAGATGACAACTTTATACGTTATTCATCTCGCGATTCTTTCATTTCCAGGGGGTTATCGCAATTTGCACAAGCATCGCAAGTCATTATTGCAAATGAAACATAATAATACATATTCGCCGTCCCTGCATTTAATGTTACAACTCTCACAACTAACTGGCATGATTATGTTTTAACTCAAGATGCGGGGTAAATTTAAGGGAAAAAAACCAAGTTTTTACAAAGGAAAAATTGAAAACGAAAAAAAGAGCAAAGGAAAATAAAGTTTAGATTAAAAATAACAAAGGACACAAATTGGACTCCGACGGGGTCCGTCGTGGAGACTTTAAATATAGACGCACAAACAAGTTGGGCCACGGCCGGGAGCAACAAAAGGAGAATCGAAGTAAAAGCAATTGCATCTATTAAATAGACCGTTAAATCATATATTATATATTGATTCGATATGTAATTTAATAGAAATGGACCTTTTCAATACCTTACAGATGCAAATTATCAGTCGGTATGCCGCAGAAACGTTTATAAAGAACAGATGAAAACACGGAGCACCACAAATCACGTGTACACCACTCGACGCGCTTTAGACATTCTATTCATGAGAAATGATTATATTAACGATAACAACGGCTTAATCCGAAGTGTCTTGCAGTGTACTCCTGCCCCGACCCCTTCCGGCGTTTTTGATCCATGTGTGAACATGCAAATATCTGCCTGTACCAGTGAATTTTCGTTTTCGATCCAGGACTGCCATCAGGCAGTACAATCTGGTATCGAGCATTAATCACTGATAGTGATCCCGTCAAATCTGACAACATTGATAGCATAATATCAGTGCTTAGGAACAGTTTTGAGCAAATTGCTTAAATCTGTAAATGGTAGTTGTAGCAACTTTCTCTATATGCACATGCAAAAGAGATAGGCTGTTATAGGCTGATAGGCGGACTTTCCTATACCAAGCTGCCGTTCCGTATGTGATCATAGGTCTAACTAAAGTCACATAGAGCCAGTACAGTCTTTAAGTGGTAATTTTTTCCACAAAGACTACGACAAGTCCACAAGGAGTTTAGCTTTGTATAAAACTCAATGAAAATGTCTATTCCATAAGAGGATTTTATCTAGGATTACAAAGTTTAAACATGTTTGAAAATTCACTATTTATAGATATAGGCTGATAGTTGCTAATCAAGTGAGCGACTCCTTAAAGACTGACTAGAGTGATTTTACTATTTTTGAGACAAGTAGGAAATATTCCACTAAGAACACTACAATTAAAAAGTTCCGGCAAAGGGCTTATAATCTTGTGACGCACAGCCTTCGCAGCTCTTACACACACCTTATCATGACCAACGCTACTAGTATTTTTCATTCTCATAGTAGCAAGTAGCACCTTAGACTTCGAAATTGGGCAAAAAAGAAGGATGATAAACCTCGGGGTTCTAGAGTCGGTTTTCCCACCGCAGAGCCGAATCTTGTTTGAACTATACGCCACAAAAATCATTTACAATTCGCCTGAATAAGAACAAGATTTCCACAATTCTATAGAATTCTTGTTTAGTTTTCTTAACAAGGTGTTTGTAGTTTGTCTTTAAACATACTTTTCCATTATTACTGGAGATTGAGTTACGCGAGCAACCCAAAAAGGATTAAGGATTAATTCATTTCTTCTCTGCCTAATTCTTGACGTGACTCAGCTTTTACAGGTTTTATTACACGCTGGAGCCCTTATACGGACAACGCGAATTATAATACAGTAAAAATGTATCAATAAACATAAATTTCTCTTAAATTAAAAAAAAACATTTTCATTAAAATAAATTGTATGATTTAGATTGAAGAGGAAGTTCGTTTGAATCATCGCAGAGCGTTTGACGAAATGGTATTTCGACATCGAGCTTATAAGGAGCCTTACGTTTACAGTTTTCTCACTATTCCTAGAAGAGAGGAAATTAAAGTACCCAAACAAGGTATTCATTTCATATTCTGCTTTATATTTTAATCAAAGACTCGTTCAGGTCAAGATTTTCCACGAAGCTATCTTAATAATATATATTTAATTAAACATCTTATTGAGTTTCCAATCTCCATTCATAAGGTTTTGCTTCTGTTTTTCTTAAATATTTTTGTTACACACAAATTTATAAAGTAAATTTTTGTTTTCTAAGGTTTTGTTGATAGCGGCATGGTAAATTTTAAAAAACGACGTGATTACTTCCGTTGGATGAATATTTATGTGGTCGAACATACACACAGGGCCATGTGTTTAGTTGTTGGTGAATGTATGAAAGTCGCTCAAATGTGCTTATTTTCCACATCTTATGGAAAAAATGTTACATTGTCCGAATTTGCTGAAATACAAACGCAAATGACAAATTCCGTAAGAGCTTTTAATAAAAATGTTATATATTTTAAATGAATATATTTTTTAAATATAGGTTATAAAACAATTAAAAACAGCATGGTTAGATACAACAGCTTATAATATAAGGATGTGTTTGGGATATTTAGGTAAAGGTTGGTTTAACCTTAACGAAAAGATTCATGAAGTTTATGATATAGCTAAACTTCTCAGATTTATGGATCTCGTTAAGTTTCATATGCAGGTAATTTAAAATATATTCAACCAAAATATCATTTTAAAAAGCAAAATTGTTTTAGTACGCTTTACGACTTTTGGTTCAAAATTCTACATCGACTTTTTGCCAATTAGTCGAAGCTCCATGTCGGCCTTGTTACGTATGTGATGATGATTTCGAATGGAATGATGATTTAATAAATTCACCATTCCGACCGAGCGTGGGGCCGCTTTTTAATTTAGTTCTTAATATGTCCGATACTGGAGCATTTTATAGCACAGATCCGGAAGATTATGGAGTATTAACAAAATTAAGCAAAAATATATTAATTTTAATTACATTTGTTTTAGCAAACTTTATTACACCTTTACGATACTGGAATAGCGTTAACGCACACAATAAAACAAGTTCATCCTTTATTACTAACCTTTTTAAGATTTCCCGCAGATTTAACATTATCTTCGGTTGGATTACTAGAAGAATTTGTGTGTAATTACAGGGAAACGTTTTTACAAGCCTATCAAAAAGCAATAATTCCTTTAAAAGCTTTTGCACGACGATTCACTCCTTATAATGAATTTTTTATGCTTGATATTAATAAATATTTAGAGTAAGTAATTCTATTTTATTTAATTTTATCTAATTGTTACTATTTAAAGAGATTTTAAAGAATTAGGAGCACCCGAAATAAAGGAAGAAGTCTCTTTCCAATTAAAAATGAAAACTAATTTAGAAATATCCCTTCCGACAACGATAATAATTGGTCCGTTTTTAATAAATTCCATTAATTTAAGGGACTTTTTAATAAATAAGCGACAGGATATAGCGACGAAACTGTTGGATCAATTCGTAGAACGAATGAAAGATTTGATTACGAAATTAATTGACGATTATCATGACATTCAAACGAAATTGTTTGAACAACCGAATTCGATTGAGCATATTTATGATATTCGGGATTGGATGGAAACAGTTCCAATGAATATAAGGGGAATGGAGGAATCGGCTAAAAGGTTATTACTTGAATATGATATTCTAGAAGGTTTTTGGTATAATCTTCCGGATGAGGATTTTGAGAATAAGTGGGAGGTTGTAGGTTGGCCAAGAAAAATTTTGAATCTCCTCGATCAAACCAATGAATTCTTAGCGGAAGAAACTGAAAGATTCCTTAAAATCCAATACAATGACGAAATGGCTTTAACCGAAAAAATCGATCAATTATCCGTTCAAGTGACGAAATTATCTGCTTTAAGAAATTTCGCAGACTGTCATGATATAGCTGTTGAAATGCGTCGTCTTTGGAAGCAAATGAAAGAAGCCCAAGAACAAGGATTAGTACTTAATACTCGTCAGAAATTGTTTAATTTGCCCGTTCAACCTTTCGATAGTTTAAATAAAATTATGAAAGAATTCCAACCCTACAAGGATTTATGGATCACCGCATCCGATTGGTTAAGAAACAAAGAAATTTGGATGGATAACCCTTTGGTTAACATTGATGGTGATTCAATTGAAAGGGTTACGAACGATATGCAGAAAATGATGATTAAATTGTCAAGGACTTTTCAAGATATACCCGCCGTTCAAGATATTGCCATTCTTATTAGGGATGAAATAGAAGAGTTTAAACCCAACGTTCCACTAATTCAAGCATTAAGGAATCCGGGAATGAGAGAACGACATTGGGAACAAGTCGCAGAACAAACAGGTGAACACAAAATATTTTTGAAATTGTATTTCGAATGAGTGATAACTAATGTTATTGATTTAAAATATTTATTTATATGTACAGGTATATATAAATTTTAATATTTTGCGTACTAACAAAATGCGATTTCGGTAACAGAAGTTCAAATAATTATAATTAATGTTCGGTTGCACTCGATAACAGAAATTGCTCATTGATTGTTTGTTACAAATTTGTGATATAATAATAATTATCTGGCGCGAGTACATCATGTGAATGTATTTTTAACTTTGCCGATATTTCCCGACGTAAATATTAATATTAGTCACAGTTTATATAATTTAGGGCCGGTTTATCAATATCTAGTTAAGACGATTTATCTGTCAATTAAAATTGTAGCTGATAGATAACGTCGACGAATCGTTTATCCATCCGTAGTTTAGGGTAATCTTATAGATAAATATGACATTTGGATACCCACCAGATTGAAGTACTGGTTAAGGATTTACCTATTAGATATTGTCAAAAAAATGTGAGCACAAGTTTGGTTGCTTGGTGAAAGGAAATGACAATAAAATCAAAATATAACGTCAAAAATAAATTAAGATTATAATTGTGGCGATGGATAAGCAAGAGAAAGAAAAGATCAAATTTTAGTACAGCAGAAAGGAACTTGCTGATGGATTTGGCAAACGAATATAAAAATGTTATAGAAAATAAATAATAATCTAGTCATTTGAAAAAAAAAAGAATATATAATCTATAATCTAATATAGTATAATCTCGTCTTAATTTTAACCAAGATTGACAAAACTGTGTCCTTTTTTAACCGAAATCTAACAAAAAAATGTGGTCGCCCAACTCCTCAAAGTGGTTTTGACTTTTGTCTTTCTTTTATAATATATGGTCGTCGTTTATAATTTAAGAGTTGGACAATATCCTCATCTTTATCGCTGTCTAATAAATATTCATGTAGGAATTCCATTATAAAAGAGGTTTTCGAAAACAAAGCACAATACCGAAAGCACACAGAAATGATAACCTCCAAAACACGATCAGCTGTTTATATCAACTTCATAAACTAAAGTCAATTATTCAAATTTCACCAATTACGTTTCATTTCCGTTTCTAATGTTAACACTCAGGGGTACCATCTACGTTCTATCTTGTAGGTTGCTGCCTGTCGGGTAGAAAGTTGCTGGATAAACGGTTCACTGAGGTTATCTGTTAGGCAAGTTTATCTATGAGTTGACAACAGATTTAATTGACATTGATAAACCGGCCCTTAATATCACACTTATGGCGACTGCCTGCTATATTAACGAAAATATTCTCGTCCCCTCTATGAAACCATAGTTTCATCGATTCATGTTTTTAAAAGAATTAACTGCACTTTTATAGTTAACAATAATACCTTCAACAATATTTCGACTTTTGTTGAAGCGACCTTCAGGTTTATATGTGATATTGTGTTGGGAAAAAAATAAAGATTTAAGCAGCATGTGTTCAATCAAAAATTTCTTTTCTTTCGGATACTTTTTTATTGCAAGAATTCTTTTTCTTATTTCTTGCCATTCATCATCTCAATTTTCTTCTTGTACAACAGACTCCAAATTTTTATTCTCCGTAAGATATTTATGCACTTCATAATTTAACGGTTTACTAAGAGGTTGAAACAAACAGTTGCAATAGCTTCGACTAAACTCGAAGCATTTTATTTTGAAATCTCTGTATTATGGCATTATTGTATTATTTAGTGTAAGCCATAACCCAATACCATAGGTCCACAAAGGTATCAAAATTTGCTTATATATGAGCAGTTTGTTTTGAATTGACATTGCTGACCTTAGGCCCAGTCACCAGTACAATTTACTATATTTAAGCTTGCGTTTTTTCTTGACCTGTACTTTCCACTGAAGCTACAAAATATAGTACAATAGTTCTAATGATAGTGGCAGGAATGATAGGATTCGTAAAGTGTATATTGATACTAATCCTTTGCTCATCTTTACTCGCCAAATTTTAGCCCATTCGTCAATTTTGAATACATCATTCTCCAAGACTTTCGCCTAATACCAAAATAGCAGTGTCGTCGACGAATGTTGCCATGGTGAGCTCATTCAATTTAGGGATATCACTCAAGGACAGTAGAATCTAACAGGACTGCTACATCCATTGTTGTGACAACCTGCCCGCAAACTACGTCATACCATTTGCCACGCCCAGCTCTATGCGTTTGCTGTGGTTTTAGAGGTTATATCGTAGACGTATTCATATTATTTTAGTTATTTTATTTTAAAATTTTTTTTTTAGACGTATTAGTGTCTATCATGTAACCTCTAAATCTCTAAAAACACACAGCAAACGCATAGTACTGAATGACAGTTAACAGGGCGTGGCAAATAGTGTGACGTAGAGTGCGGGCAACCAACCCGTAGTGGGCTATAAAAATACAATGCATGTAGCAATCCTGTTAGATTCTACTGTCCTTGGATATCACTGGTATATAACACGTATAAAATTAAACCAAGTACGCTGCCTTGAAGTATTCCAGCTCTATAGCGCGAAGGCAAGAGTTCTCATGTTTTTAGCTTAGTCTTAAACAGCACCTTTTATAATATGACAAATTTTATTAAGTCACTATATTCCATAAGAAAAACCCTTTATAGACCTCCAGAAAGCATATGAAACACAAATTAACCACACGTTGATAAAAGCTCTGAAAGAAGTCTCTAGAGAGTGCAAAACAGAGATAAAAATCGAAAATAGGACGTTTGGAAGATTCTTGGTGTCGAAAGAATTTAAAAATGTACATAGAACATGTATTGAACAACTGGAAGAAGAAGTGTAGAAGAATGGGGTTTGAATTAAATGCCATCGCCCAAGACAAAGATGAGCAATATAATAAATATAAATATCTTAGAATGGAACTAAACAACGAAGGAAAAGATTCATTAGAAATAGACAGTCAGGGAAGACGAGTTATAAAGAAGCTGAACGGAATTTGGTAGCACAACACAATTAAGTGAAAATGGAAACTAAGTGTATATTCAGCGTCCTTTTGTGAAAAGTATAGTATTGTACGGGCAGAAACGTGGAAGAGTTGACAAAAGCCGATAAAAATAGAATAAGAGCAGTCGAAATGTTTTTAGAATAACATGCACAATCTCGAGGAAACGACGAATAATAAACGAACACATGTTATAAATAGTAAGTATCAAAGAAATAATTATAGAAGACATCATGAAAACAAAACAGCTGATATGGTACGATCACGTATAGCGAATGTTAGAGGGAAGATTTCCAAAGATAGCCCAATAATCGAAGGAAGAGAGACCTAATAAGACGTGGATTCTATAACAAGTTCGAATGTATGGAATAATCTTTCATTCCAAACTTTATCGAACGATTGCGCGACATCCAGGAATATCATTGAACACACTTCCTTTTGTTCGAGAGTCCTTTCAACAATATTAGACTCTAGAGAGACTCTATGTATTTGTTGGACGGCTGAGTGTCTGCTTCGAAAACCAAACTTATGTAACGGCATAATGTTCCTTTCCTCATTAATCTTTTGAACATTAATTTTTTAAATATCGTTGACATTTGCCTGATTTTAGTGTCATGATGACCTCTGCTGTTTTCTAGAGAACTGAGACGTATTTTAGCCTAAAGCTGGCATCATACATGTTTGTTTACTTCAAGGTCGCCTTTGCTGCGGGGTAGCTGTTTAAGTAGTTTGATATCGGGCATCAAACGAATTTCTGTGCTTAGGCTACAATTGATTTTATGGCTTACTTTGTTTGGTGGTGCAAATGGTACTGTTCTGGTTCACTTGCAGTCGTCACTCTGCATTGAAGTTTTTGTAATGCACTAATTAGTTCGGAAAGATTTTTGTAGATGATCTGCAAAGATTTGTACTTTTTGCCCAAGATTGGTCTTTATTTTCTTATAAAAGGATTATATAATATCTTGGTTGCTTTAGATTTTTAGTGCTTTTGCACAAGGAATAATTAGTGCAAACATTTAAGCACAAACGATTTATTACCAGCAGATTGTAAATCTTAGCAGATATTCAGATGGTTGCGCAGTGTGTCAGACGAAATATTACAGAATATACAGCAGGGAGTTTCTATGTATTTTGCTTAAAAGTACTCAAAAATCTCCGCTAATCTATTTCATTTCTTATGACATCCCAAAATTCTTAATTTGTTTAAAGTAAGTGGAGGGTTAAAACGATAATCTAAAAATCTAGTTAATCTTGAATCGATGGAGGACTCAAATAATGTATTGGCAGTGAAACCAAATATCGTAATTCTTAAAGGCAACAAATAGACAACTTCAAGACATCCATTTTATACCAGGTTCGATAGGTGACGTTAAGAAATGTGTAACATTGGAAGAATATTTTTTACATCTTTACTCTCATCTTATTCTCGATCTACAAAAATCTTACTGCACACAAACAAAAATTTAAGTAAACAATTTTAATCCTTTTGACTGTGAAAATGCAAACCATCTAGCTACCATATGTATATGTCATATAATGATTAGTTCCTTCTATAGAACTATAGATTTATGTTTCTACTGAACTGTCCCAAGTTTGATGCAAGAGAAACGTTTGCAACAAAACTAACAATTACTAGTGCAATTCTTAGTTGGTGGTTGCAACTTTTAGAACGCTTATCGAGAAACTTACACCCTATTAAGATTGGGCTCTCTTCAAGTTTGAATAAAATCCTGAATCATCCAAAAAATGTCTTCAGCGATGAAGGTCATCTTCGGCTTAATGGCTGTATCACTAAGCAAAATGTGTGTTGTTGGACAACGTTTCCCAATAACGTGATTGAAGAGACTCCATTACAGCCACAAAATAACCATGTGGTGTAGATTTTATTCCGGAGAATATATGTATTTTAGGTCTGCAACGGATGGAAGTAGTCAAAGATCCTTTTAATCTTACATTAATTGGACCATTACGTAGCAATAAAAAGGATTTTCGACCAGACCTGCTATCCATAAGACAACGAAATGAAAACCAAAATAGGATATTAGGTATGTGCCAAAGAAAGATCTCTGATTCTCAATGTTCTAAAAGATGAGCAAATGACAAAGACGTACTGTGAATAGTATGAAGATTCAATCTGTGGTGAACACTGAGGAAGTAGTATGCCAAGAATAGTGATAAATAACATATATAGTAGAAACCACGAGAGCTGGCAGTAAATCGTCATTTTCCGCCGTCACAAATGCCATACGTAGTAAATTAAAATTAACAAACCGCTAGAGAGTAATGTGTGTTAGAAGGAGATAGCATTAGTTTAATATGTTTGCTTTACAATTCAAATAGCCACGTCGAAAGAGTACGTCTGTTCTCTAGAGATGTAACTCTATAACTATAACCTCAAATCGAAACGTCTTGTGAGCGTTGTGATGAATCTGTTAGTGTTTTCACAAGCCGAAAATGTCTTCTTTGAAAGGAAAACCATTAAATAAAAAATCTATGGTGATGTTTATGAACATTTTAAATTATTTTCGACATACATACAAAACTAAATAAACATTAAACCTTAAATAACTTTTTAAACTATTTGTTAAATAAATTAATAATCACATAAACTTTATTATAAATTAATATTAACGCTTTTTCGCTATTTAACCTTTCCTATCTTTGAAATAATCGTCTATATCTAGATCCATACTATTTTTAAGCGATGACTTACTGCTAGCTCTCGTGGTTTCTACTATATCATATATCTACAAAGTTCTCAATACAAATTTTTAATAATATGTAAATTTTTCTCGCTGTTCTGGAAAAAATCCTGGTAAAAACAAGCGACTTGGAGATTTTTAAAGCAGATAAAACCAGACGGAGTTAGAAAAAATGAGAAATTCTGAAGTGGAGATATTAAACATCAAAATATAATCATTTAATTATTTTTATTTTTCCCTCTAGTCTATTCCTTATAAGATCAGCCTCTGCAATACTGACATCTGCAAAGACAATCTGGGAAGTTAACTGACAACTGTCTCTCTGTCTCTTCGGTGGTCTCCTTGATGGTCTGGTTTCAGGCAAACTAGTTGTAGGCACAATTATCGGCAGTCTGTTATCTGACATTCTACACACGTGATTGTGCCAAAATCTCTTGCTCTGTCTTCCCAATCTCACAATATCCTCAACTCCGCGCTGGTTTCTGATGTCGGAGTGGTTAATTCTGTCCTATTTGTCTTTTCTGGGACTGTCCTCCGTGTTTTCATTTCTGCTACTCTTAACATGCTCTTAGTTTTGTTTGTATCTTCGTGTATTTCAATGTCGTTAATTATTATTAGGCCTATGAAAGTCTTATGTGGTATACACATATTAAGTGGTATATCTCCACTTCCATCCATAACCATGACTTGTTCGATCGGGGTGTTCTTGACTACCAGCTTACATTTTGTTAGCTCCCTTACTATCATTATGCATTTAGAGACAACCATATTCTTTGCCCGCCTGATAGAACCCGTGTTATTAAACAATTTCTTTGATGTGCTAGCTTTTTTTTTTGGCTTTTTTGAATATAGGGATTGTTATCTGGTTATGTCATGCCATTGGCATTTTTTTTTTTTGGCACAGCGGTCTGCTAAATAGCTGGGTCAGCTTTTCTGTTATTTCTGTGTCTCCATATTATAATTCATTAGATATGTTGTTGATTCCGACAAATTTCCTGTTTTTCAATTTTTTAATTTTCCAACTTTTTTTACTTTTCTATCTAGATTATAGTTCTTATGTTTACAAATTCACTAACATGTGTTGCCACTTAAATAAAATGTAGTTTTGATTTCGGAGCATTTTCCAAACCTTGAGCTCCATATAGGTCATAGAGGTTGCTTCGTTTCTTTCACAAGTCTATATGTACAGCTAAGGTTTCTGTCGTTGATGTGCTTCTATAGGATAAGTAACTTATCTTGTTTGGTTTTGGCAGATGTCAACTTTTCTATTACCGATGGCTTCTTCATTTAACTCAACATGCCTTATACAAACGTTACTAACTTCGAAGATAGGCTGTTTAAAATTGAACTTTTTTCTGCCACCTAATGGGCTGGGGTTATTTAATCAAAAAAAAAACGTTTGAATTTAACTTTAATGATTAATAACGATATTTTTTTAGGAATTCAAATAACTCTTACTTCAACTACAACATATAAAGATTGTTTAAATCTTGGAATCCTTCCATTTGCTGATGTATTAGTAAAAGCATCCGATGAAGCATCTAAAGAATATGGAATAGAACAAGTTTTAGAAAAGATGCTTGGAGATTGGGAAGGTGCCTATTTAGAATTAACAGCATACAAAAATACTGGAACGTACATCGTAAAAGTGGCTGAAGAAATCCAACAGATGCTCGATGATCAAATTGTTATGACACAACAACTGTCTTTCAGTCCGTTTAAAGGTGCTTTTGAGCAAAGGATCGACGAATGGGAACAAGATTTAAGAACTATGGCCGATGTTTTTGAAGAATGGATGGATGTTCAGAGACAATGGATGTATTTAGAGCCGATTTTTTCTAGTGAAGATATCAAAGAGCAGTTGCCAAATGAAAGTAAGAAATATGGATCGATGGAGAGAAGTTGGAAAAGAATTATGCGGAACGCTTACGAGTGTCCGAAAATCATCGAGTATTGTCCTGATAGAAAGTTGTTGGAAAGCTTAAGAGACGCCAATCATATGCTGGAAATTGTACAAAAAGGTCTTGCCGATTATTTGGAATACAAAAGGATGACATTTCCTAGATTATTCTTTCTTAGTGACGATGAATTATTGGAGATTTTATCCCAAGCAAGGAATCCCCTTGCTGTTCAACCTCATTTAAAAAAATGTTTTGAAAACGTTGCAATGGTAAATTATTTCAAAACAAAATTTAATTAATTTAATTCAAAATTTTTCAGCTAACATTTTTAGATGATTTACAAATTACTCAAATGTTCTCAGCAGAAGAAGAATGCGTTGACTTGCGACCACCTTTTTATCCAAAAGGAAATGTGGAAAATTGGTTGGTGGTTTTAGAAGAAACCATGATATCTACATGTACATTTTCTTTAATACTTATTCTTTCATTTTTTTAAATTTCTCATTTTCTTTTTTAGTACGAACAACATTCGGTGAATCTTACATCGATTTATATAAAAAACCACGCCAAGCGTGGGTTTTAAGATGGCCAGGTCAAATAGTGATCGCTTGCAGCCAAACTTACTGGACTGCGGAAGTTGAAAATGGCATAAATAAACATGCTTTACCCGGCTTCTTCAAAGTTATGTTAGATAACGTTAGCGAATACATTCTTTTTTAAACGTTTCTTGATTTAATTTTTTCTTTTTAGCTCGACGCTTTACGAAGTTTGGTTAAAGGAACACTTACATTTGTTCAACGAGAAATTGTTTGTGCCCTCATAGTTATTGAAGTACACTCGAGAGACGTTACGCAAACTCTCGTTGATAATAAAATTATGAGCGTGAACGATTTCGATTGGATAAGTCAATTAAGGTAGAAGTTAAAAGTCCATTTAACAAGAAATCGAAAATTATTTTATTTAGATATTATTGGATTGAAGGTGAAGTTAAAGTAAGAGCTGTAAATGCGGAATTTCCCTACGGGTACGAATATTTAGGAAACAGTGGAAGATTAGTTATAACACCATTAACGGATCGATGTTACTTAACATTAACTGGAGCTCTACATTTAAAATTTGGCGGAGCTCCGGCCGGACCTGCGGGTACTGGGAAAACGGAAACAACCAAGGATTTAGCGAAAGCTTTCGCTCGACAATGCGTAGTATTTAATTGTTCCGATCAGCTGGATTTTATGGCTATGGGGAAATTTTTTAAAGGTTTAGCGAGTTCCGGTGCTTGGGCTTGCTTTGATGAATTCAATCGTATCGATATTGAAGTTTTATCCGTTGTTGCTCAACAAATCATGACTATACAAAAAGCTCAAGTACAACGTTTGGAACGGTAATTATTTCTTTTATTTAGTAACATTCACTATATTTAAATAAATTCTGTACATTAAGACATTGTGGTATTGTGGTCGACGGAATCTAATCATTTTAATTTAACCGTTATAATACCAGATTTTTTGCGACTTATAATACAAATGCAATAGTGACCCCATATTCTTGTGTAGTAGACATGATAAATCTTCTTAAGTCAATACAGCCCAAATCCTCCTTTATTTTGTACCTACATTTTCCTCTATATGCTGCTGCTCTTCGCTATATTCTCACCATCAGCAGATTACGTGCATCATCGAACACTGTCCATGCAGCTTAAACATCAGCAGTAGATGGGTCACCGATAAAATCCATGACAAGTGGTGTTGACCGCTAAAAATTGTATCTATAGATCAAAAAAGTAAGAATGAAGTTTTGACCAAAAAAGTATAAAATATCAAAGATCTGTAGTCTTCACACCCCAATAAGATGGAAGATCTGAAAGAGAAAATAGGAACTTAGTAGAAGCAACGAGAACATTATTAAATAGTAAGAAGTTGAAAGCGTTTTGAACTGAAGCCATAAATTAAACTTACATATCAAACAGAATACTTTCCTAACCCCTAAGAACTAAATGTCCTACAGGAGCTATGGCAACATAAAACAACTGATTTAAGTGGAATCCAAAAGGTAAGCAAGGATGATAATGTGTATCAAGATATTGCGAAGATTCTATTTATTTATTTATTTATTTATGCACATAGGACACAGCACAGGACGAACCAAATAAAAGCTGTGTCACTGAAAAGAATAAGAACAAAACAAAATAATAAAGACACAAAATAACATCAGTAGTGAACAGTAGTAAAAACAATAAAATAAAATAAGTAAAATAAACGATCAAAAATTCTGATTGAAATTAAGGAAACATTCTATAAACAAGTAAAAAATAACAACAATAAGGAATTGCTGATTGTAATGTTAACAATGATACGGCATGCTCCCAACAGCAGCTAAGGTCGATTTTTTAAACGAGTTAATGGATTCATAATATATCGATGGACAGACGATCGGCTGATCGAACGGCACGCAACAATGGGGAATGTTGATAAGCATTAGTGCGGGTTGTAGGAGTGAAAAAGAGAAAATCATATCTCAACGTTCTGGGCGGAACATGCAAATTCACTAGAGACGTAAGCGAAGTCGAATTATAGATATTACGAATTAATTTATAGAGTAGCAATACATCACTAGCAAAACATCGCTGAGTCAGTCGCAGAAACCGAAAGGATTGGCACGCCGAGTTGTAGTCAACATAGGTGATATGAGACTTCCGGCATAAAAATCGAAGGAATCTCTTTTGGACTAGTTCTAATCTTTTCACGTACATGTCATATTTAGGATTCCAGATGACAGAACAATAATTTAAAACGCTGAATACATACGCAAAATAGAGAGTTTTTATGGAACTGATATTAGTGAAATCAGTCGCTGATTTCATGACAAATCCAAGCATGCGAGAAGCCTTGTTGACCACCGAGTCGACGTGCTCATTAAATAAAAGTTTGCTATCAAAGGTCACTCCCAGATCTTTTATAGACGTGACTCTCTGCAACAATTCCCCACCAATAAAATAATCAAAACGTATGGGATTAGCTTCCTTTGTAAATGTGATGGTAACACATTTACTAAAATTTAGGCTAATAAAATTTGTCAGACAATATTGAGCAAAGTCGAAGAGATCGCGCTGAAGAGCAGAACAATCCTTAGGGCCAGATACACGGCAGAAAATTTTTAAATCGTCTGCGTACATTAAACAGTTTGAATGTTTAAAACAATGAAAAATATCATTAATGTAAAAATCGAAGAACAAGGGGCCAAGGATACTTCCTTGAGGGACACCGGACGAGACGGCCACTGCCTGTGAGGAGAAACCTCTAGGAAGCGAGCCACTGTTGTATGTTGCTGGGCAAACCAACTTGTTCTATTTTATTTAATAATAGCAGATGATCAACCTTATCAAATGCTTTGCTAAAATCAGTGTATACGGAGTCAACTTGGCACTTATCGTCAAAAGAATGTAAAAGCAAAAAAACCATACTGTCGTTGGTCTAAAACATTCTTAACAATGTAAGAAATTGGTTTATAAATTAAGCTCTCGAGAACTTTACCGAATATAGGCAGTAGAGAAATGGGCCAGTAATTAGAAAAGATTGATGACATACATTCTTCTGAGAAAAGAATGATGAAATTATAAACGGTAGATTTGAATCAAGAAGAGAAAGAAGAAGAAATACGAGATGTGATAACTACGAGTTGGATTTGGTCAGAATTTGTTGTCAGTGAGTGATTGTCAGTAATGGAAAAGTAATAAAAGCAGAAATTAATGCAGTGGAAGAAAATGAAACGTGGATTACTGTGAGTGAGCAACAAATAAAAATTAAAGCCCTGTTACTAAACTGTCATCAATGAGGATATTTCTGACCCCTTTAATTATGAAGTTACTCAATTGTATGTGTGTAGTGCTTTAACCAACTCAACCCAACTCGAATCAAGAAACATAAACGACGATGTCTACATTATGCTTCGTCAAGGTTTTAGTAAAAATAAAGAAATCCCTATATGGCCTGAAAACATCACCTAAAAACTGGTATAAATAGTTTAACGATTTGATGTTTAGCTTGAATGTTGTGTGTTCTGAATATTATTGTATTTATACTTAAGTAAGAATCTTGTATAATATACTTAACATTTTCTTTACGTGGTGATCAACAAAAGACTTTTTAGGTATGCTTATAACACAAAATTTAGCTAAGAATAAAATTACTATAAATCAAACAACAAATCTTAAAAACATTTTGGAACGTTTTGATAAGCAAAAAATTGCAAACCATGCAGCACGTGAAAAATATTGAACCAAAGCAATTGAAAATTAATGCTGGAGAGTTATAGGCATAAAAGACAATGTTTGATATATGGTGGGGAACATGTTAAGGCACCAAAAGAAAAACACGATTAAAATATATCTCGAATGGTGTGGAGAGATATCAGGGACGAAACAGTATTGAGAGATTGTTAGCATAATGCAAGCAAAGAATTAACATTTGCCCTGATAACGTTCAGGTATAATGTTCAACAACATCTTATGATTGAGAAATGTTGATACAAGATAAATAAGCAATACAGTTAAACTTATCATCGCCAAAGTGTTCTTCAACCATACACAGTTATTTTAATTGATTCTCCAGTTATAAGAGGATTTATAAATAATATTTCACCAGTAGAAGAGGCTATGGATTTATATTGGATAAACGTTGTTAATCTTCAACAAGATGGTGAACCTTTACTACCATATATTTGGTCTGAAATTGGGCATGATCAACACCTAGATGATGCTCAAAAACATCTTATACAAAATCCTTAACATGGATTTAGATGCTGGTCGCTACGATTAATACTACATTGATAGAGAATGGATGAGGAAGGTGGTGGCGACTAGGCAGCGTAGGGAGATGCGGGGAGGAGATGGGGAGGGGTAAGATAGGAAATAAAATGTATTGTATTGTAATGTGATATATGTAATTGTAGTATGGTTAAAATTTAATTGTTTGTGGAATGTATTGCTGATTTGGTAGCAATAAACTTAATTAATCATTACACACTATATTTAGTAACTATATATAATATTATATGCTGAACGATGTTATGTGATTATGAGATCAACTATATCGCCATGACCGCAAATATACGGTTTTGATTAATGAAGCCGAGGCCGCTATCAACCAAGACACAACACTGCAACATGTATAATTGCGGTTCATCAAAGTTAAGTCAACCTCAGTTTGACATAAAAATGTATGGTTTAGGTTAAAGAAGCCGAGGTCACTCTCCAGCGAGGAGCTGCAGGTGATTATACAACATTGGATCACATATACCACGATGCCTCAGCCGCAAGTAATCTTGGCCTATCTCACAATACAAAGTCGCCATATTATATGCTATCCGATATTACATAGATGTGACATCAACTGTATCGCCTCTGCCAGAAACGGGGTCGACTTAATTTAGTAAATTGTACATTTTCCCTTTCACGTTAAGCCGAGGTCGAGGCTCCAATAAATATGGTATATAATACTGTATCAATGTGGTATTAATTGTAGCGCTTGGGCGGCAAGCCGTTTTGGCTTAACGTAGAAGGAAAAATGAATAATTTTGCCCTATTAAGCCCAGGCTACTTGGGATCGAGGCGCCACATTATGTGCTTATGAGTTGTCGAAATTCAGTGCTCAGTATTCGACTAATACATTAGAAAAGAGTGCAAAAAAATAGGAAAAAGGAAGAATCTTTCCTGTCAATTTTGTACATATCGCTTTAGATGTCACTTTCTAGTTTACTAACATCTTTCTAATCGTATTTACAGAAAGTATAACTAACAAAAAAGATCTCATATAAGAAGTAATCTAATACTAATCTTTCCATGACAAAGTCTAGTTACAACTTTGAAACTTGGAAACAAGGATTTAATACTTGATGAGTTTTCCTTTCTTTTTCACTGTTACTGAGTTCACAGATTAATGAAGGTTTAATATATCTAGTAAGTTACAAACCAATTTTGTTGCTAACGATACTATCGAATACCGTAGATAATATCTCGGAGCGCCAGGAACTGTTAATAAATAATGGATAAGATGTTGCGCAATCAAAAGGCTAAGTTATCAAAAGGCTAAAAGTTATCAAACGTGTCTCATTGTTAAAAACTGCTTGTTAGGGTGAAAAATCGTCAAAATGGATCAGAACATGTCAAAACGTTTCAAAAGTTGTCAGAAAGTATGAAAAAGTCTATTTTAAATCGCTGCATCAACTCTTTGTCAAGTTTTCGTCAACACTATTCCGTATCAAGTCTACAGCATGTTTGTATCAAGCCTTCACCATGTCTCTATCAATTCAAGTTTGTACACAATCTACTCTCAATCATAACTAATTATGGCTGCACATATCTATCATATCTTCGAGATTGCATAAAATCTTCATACATCTTTATTAAACCTTCTCTATGTCTTTGAAGTGTGTATCAAATGTCCAGTATGACTTCTAAATTGGTAGATACAGTAAATCGCTCACTCTTCTTTAAATCTCCATCATTTCTGTATTAAGTCTGCATCGAGTAACTCCGTATAAAATAATATTCTCTACATCAACTCCTCACTACGTCTCTATCAAATCAAGTTTATACAGAATCTAGTTTCCTTCATATTCATCAATACACCAATTAGGAGTACATCGAGACTCCTCGAGATTGCATAAAATCTCCACATATTTTTATTAAATCTCCATTATGTAAGAGCAGTCTGCATCAAATGTTTAGTACGGCTTCTAACTTAGTAAACGCTGTAAGACGGCCTCATTCTTCATTAAATTTTCAACATTCCTGTATCAAGTCTGCATTGATTGTCTCCTAATAGAGTCATCATCTCTGCATCAAATTTTCACCATATCTCTATCAAATCAAGTATTACACAGAGTCTAGTCTAAATCTGTATCGAGTAATGCCATATAAAGTCCACATCATCTCTATATCAAGTTTTCTGCAGGATTCTGTTAAATTAAAGCTGTATAGTGTTAAAACTTTAGCAGTCTGCATCAAAACTGCATCTAGATGTGTATCAAGACTTATTCAAAACTGCATCTCTATACAGTCCTTATTAGATCTGCAAAGATGTCTCTGTAAAGAGAACTTCGTATAAATTCCTCATCCTCTATATATTCTTTAGGTTATAGTCAAATGTATCATCAAAACTGTATTCAGACGCATTATGTCACATCTCTTTCATGTCAGCCCTATATCTCCAAACGTGAAAACAACTCTGTATAAAGTTATCACATCAAGTTTTCACCTTGTATCTATTAAGTCAAGATTCTTCCAATGTACATTAAGTCTCTGTGGAAACGTTCAGGACTATTTTATGCATGGAAATTTTATCCAATCACCCGCATATAGTTTTCAACTTGTGTCTATGAAGTCAAGATTCTTCCAATGGTAGCATGGAACTTACAGTCAAAAATGTTATCAAAACTGTATTTAGACGCATTATGTCACAGCTCTCATGTCAGCACCAATCACGTCAATTTTAATTTGTTTTGATGTGAGCTGGATTTTATGCTCGATATCAAAAACCATCTAGTTTCTCCTTATGAATCTTGTTGATCATGTAGATAAGGTATATCGGTCTTTAATAAACATAAACATACAGTATTTCATTCCATTATTTTGAATTGAGATAAAAGGTATTATTTCATCACATTAGGCAAAATATATTTTAATATTTTAATAATATTTTATTTTTTTATTTTTTTTTAACAATATTTTAATGGATTGTTTATTTTAACCTTTACCAACGTTATTTTAATATCGAGCTTGTAATTTTATTGAATATTTTAATCATTATTAAATTATATTAATTTAATTTAATTTAATTAATTATTAGAGATATTTCATATTAATAAAATCCATCGTTTTCAATTGAATAATTTTCATATTATTGGTAACAAAAGCGACGGTGAACAATAAAAAAAAGCGATAAAATGTTACCCCTAAAGTTATTTGTTCCACTATTCGATCAATTTAGGATATTTTCAACTTTGTTACTTGATTTACATTTTTACTTATCACATTAATTTTTGTTTAGGTTTTTGTTTGAAGGATCAGATATTGTATTAAAAGCATCTTGTGCTGTTTTTATAACGATGAATCCGGGTTATGCCGGAAGAACGGAATTACCAGATAATTTAAAAGCGCTATTCAGACCGGTTGCGATGATGGTGCCTAATTATTCGTTAATTGCTGAAATTTCTCTATTTTCCTTCGGATTTGGCAACGCAAAACGCCTAGCTAATAAAATTACGACCACGTTTAAATTAAGCTCGGAACAGTTGAGTAGTCAGGACCATTACGACTTTGGAATGAGAGCTGTTAAAACTGTAATTGCTGTCGCGGGTAATTTAAAACGAGAACGACCCAATATGGATGAGAATCAAATCATATTAAGGTCTTTAAGAGATGTTAATGTACCTAAATTTTTAAAGGATGATTTAAAGTTATTTAATGGTAAGTATTTTTTATTTTATGGTAAGAATATTTCTAGTGTAAGTTAAGATTGTAGCATATTTTTATTGAACTAAAAGTGGAACTTATATTTTGTTAAGTTTTTGAAAATATAAACAGAAACTTTGATTTATTTATCATTTATAATTTATTATTAAAACAATTTTATGTTATTTTATTTTATTTTTGTAAGTTTAAGTTCTTAGAAAATTTCAAAGTAAATTATTTTAATAAAGGAATCGTGTCGGATTTATTCCCAAGAATGATTGAAGAAGTGGTCGATTATGGTGCTTTAGAGGAAGCCATAAGATTTTGTATAAGAGATAAAGGATTAGAAGACGTTGATGGTAATTTATTTTTAAATTAATATTTTAATCCAATTTATGTTATCGAAATCTTTTTTTTAGATTACGTTAGAAAAGTGATTCAACTTTATGAAACGACCGTCGTGAGACATGGATTAATGTTGGTTGGACCTACAGGTTCTGGAAAGACAAAGGTAAGTGACCTAAAACACAAATTTTTCCATCAAAGTTGAGACGGTTTAGTAAACATTCTCGGTGGTTAACGAGAAGGGAAGGGCCCTGAATTGAGAGCAAATATCGTAAAAACCGAAAGCTTAGTAGCCCTTTAGTCGGGTTCGCGCGTAAAATATATGAGTAAACAACACATTTCATTCACTGTTAGAAATAGATTAAAAAAGATTTTATTTTTATGACACACATTTATTAAAATAAATTTTTGGATTCAAGGTTACATTAAGTACATCTTTTATAACTAATTAAAAGCATTTTGAGTGATCGTAATAGCGTTTCGAATAACTTGCCATAAGCATCGTCGAAACGTTATCCCATACATTGAATACAACATAAAATTTATGCTATAATTTGTGTAGAAAATTATCATGCAGAAATGTTGAATGCACCATATAATTTTTGGTGGTTCTTTGTTTAAAACGCTTATAACGAAAAATGTGTAAGCTCTTATTACGTAGCTGCAACAAAAAGAAACATTTTTTTAAAAATTATTTTATTTATTTTATTTTCTTACCTGGGGAGATTAAAGCAGATGAAAACCGATGAAACTAAAAGTAACATCTTTGAGATACCATGTTGGATTTTCGTAGACATTAAATTGGTTGATTTAAAATCTGTTAAATTAATAACGAATAAAAAATTAAGCAGTAATAAGTTAATTTTTTACGTATTGATGAGAGTTGTTCCTGTTCTCTTGGATTACTCATTGGACATTTAGTGGTTGCAGATTTTTGAGAGGTACATTGAGAACCCGATTGTTTGGTAGTTGAAGAAATCTAAAAAAAACGCAACATATTTAGAAATCAAAATAATTCACCATTTTATGGAAAATAATTTATTACCCATCGTGTCTATTGTTTATTAATTAAATTGCCCACGTTATAACAACGACACTAATGATAGCTTTATATACGTATTAAATTCCCTAATTTAACCTAAATGTATACGACGCAATCAATCTTGATCATATCAAATCATTCAGGTAATTTTATGTAATTGTGATCTATGCGAAATTAGCACTCAAAAGCATATAAAATCCTATCTATTTGGAGGCTAACTTCGTAGAAGTGTACGTTCAGTTATAAATTTATTATTGTATTTATAAATTCCTTTTTCATTTCATCAATTTATTTTCGTTTTTATTAAAAACAAAGCCCACATTCAAAAGGTATTATATTTATTCACTACCATTGTTATAATAAATTCAGACCATTGTGCTTTTTGTCAACAAATCAATTCTTTACTATAATAGAGAAAATATTTCTAATACTGGATTACAATATTCGATTTATTGGATTTATTTAACAAAATCGTGATCATTAAATTTATAAAATGTTATATAAACAGCATTTAATTTCGTTTAGGGTATGATTTAAGCTCCCGCAGAGAGAACCACCATAAAAAACTTCACTCTTTCCCTAATATTACTTTTTGTTCCGAAATCCAGCTGTGGCCGAAATGTCTTTATTAAGAACCTAAATCTTAATAAACCTTACAAGAAAATGTTTTATAGCTATCTATTCCTCTTCATCCCTTTAAAACAACATTATCGATCGTATTAATCTCTTATTGTTTGGATTAATCAAAACGTCGTTTACCCATGTGCTCTTAGTATTATAACGTGACGAGGGTTGTGAATTATATCAGATTAAGATAATCCATCTTCTTTAAATCTTCGCTTTTTTATCCTTTACTTTCTTCTTTTTTTGTTAAACGATCGTAAATCGCTATTATATGTAAAAGTAAGGAGTTTTTTTTGTCTCTTTACGAATGTGTCGTCACCCTTTCGCTTCTTTACTTTTATGTAGCTGTAAAAGAAGCACTATGGAGACGTAAGAAACAAAAGAGTCCGGTCAATATTGGCTATCGACGATTTTTTTTGTGTTGTCCTTGTATTTTTTTCTAACTTTCTTTATTACTATTACATGTGGTATATAATAAACAGAAATTAAGAAATATCTCAAGAACGATATATCTCGTTATAGTGGTTAGAATTATTCTGGAATAAATTTAAATTGCTCCTAATATTCATTTAATAATGATTTATTAAAACCAAAATGTTTCAGAAACTAAAAGATATTTTGGAAATTAGTTACTTTCATTGAAAAACTTATAATTTGTTTAATAAGTGCTGAGAATTTCGTATTGATTTATTGAAATTTCAATTTGTTATGATTTGTGGAATATGAATCAAAATAATTGCTTGACCATTTCTTTCATTAGAAAGCTGTAAGAACGTAGTTTTGATAGAATCGCGTTTAGCTTTCGAATACTAAAACTGATTCTTCCCAATTTCCAATAACTTATCAACGAATCTACAAATGCCAGATCATACATACAGTTACTATTTCTTCATAAAATGAAGTTTTCACCGCTAACTTTTCTTTCTGTGATTTCCAGGCTTTCCTGGACAGACTTATTACATCTTCAGCAGATTCATTCGTTTTTTGTCCATTTTTTCTACGTATATTTTGACTTCTTTGCCAATAACAACATTTAATGAATTCATTATTTCTGAAATAGCACTACATCCTGCGTTAAACAGATTAGCAGCAATATAAGAAGAAATATCGACTATTTGTGAGCCGTAATGAAGGTGCTTTGAAAAAAAATTGATAATTAAAGTTCTAAATGTATTTCCCCTCTTAAATCCTTCTAATACTATTATATTAATAATTACGTTATTTTGATATTGTACTTGCAATATTGGTTTAAAAATCCTATACCTTTCTGAGAATATCTAATCTTTCTACTTCTTCACCTACTTATATCTTTACCTAATTCAATGTAAATATTGTGTTCATACAGTTTGTATTGGCCAGAAGAAGATCTGTTTGATCACTTAATAAAGGTGCAGAAGATATTTTACCACAGTGGTTTGAAGGAGAAAGTGAAATTAATGATGAAGGCGGTCAAGATGTTATTTAAGATGCATTTTACGGAATTAACAAGGCGTGCTCTACTGCGTGCTTTTTATCTGGTGAAACGATTACTGCTGTTCGCTATCAACAATAATTAGTGACGTTAAAATCAAATAACTGGAAAGGGCCAGAACACATGACTAAGTGATTTTATTGCATGACAGTGCGTAACCTCATGTCTAAACCACTCAAATCATAGATAAGCTGAAATGAGAGTTGAGAGCATATTTAATCATATCGAAACTCCTTCAAGATTGCATCAAATTTTCATAAGACCATATCTCTATTATGCTTACATAATTATTATGTCTGCATCCAGATAATTTGCATTGGCACTATTGACCCCACTGACCATGGCGTCACATTTTAAAAATTATTAACTTTGAATAACCCTTTTCCATTAATTTTCTCCAATTGGGCAAATTTTTATTTTATTTGCGGATCATGATTGAAGAATATGCCGAAGTCTAACACTGTTTCGTACGTTTCAATAAAATGTTTTTTGTACTTTCCTTTAAACTCACTTCGGTTAATCAATACTTACTGGGAAATATTCATAACAGTACACGCTGTACTTCAAAATGTTTATTGAGTTGTTTACAACCATTTATTTATGACGGTTATAAAGTCTAAATAACATATGTGATGCCTTTGGGAAGGATAGAGACTAGCTCCTGCAATTACATAGCTGTTAATGCAATAATATTAAAAAAAACCTGTATCGGGACAAGGTTTGTTGATAATTGGGTCCTTGGTTTGTTTCTTTTCAATACCATTCTGATATTGCCTTTGAATATTTAAATTGAATAATTTTTATACCTATACTTATTACCCTTACTCCTTTGGATCTCGTTATCTGTTAAAAAATGGATCGATTTTTATGCAAAGTTTTGTTATTCAAAATCTGTTAATTTAAATAAAGTCCTGATTAAGCAAAAATATCTTGTTTCAGTGTAATGTGATATTCATTCAAATTGAATCTGTTAAATACGAAATTGAAAATTTTAGTCCCCCTAAATTCAATCTGGTGACGAGTAAAAGGAAAATTTAACGAATTCTCCTTTTCTCCTTAAAGAATTGAAATTTACTTGATGACAGACGGTATATATAGTATATCAAAAAAAAGCTTTCCCAGTTCGTTTTTTAACTTTCGTAAACTAAATAGCTTTCCTAGAACGACAAAGTGAACTAGAACTTTAAGAGCTTTTATCCCGGTTAAATATTTTGTGAATATACCTATCAAATGTTATTATTCATTAATGTGGTTAAATTATTTAGATTTCATCTTTTTAAATGTAAACGACTTGAGAACGAACTTACAAATTGTTGAATTGAGAGGATGTTTTTTGTGATTCAAAGGTTATCATAACAAAAGTAAATAAATCTTTATTACAACGGTAGATATAAAATTCAGGTTTCGTTCGGCATATTTTTATAGGGATTTAAACTCACTCGGATGTAATAAATTATAGGATAACAACATAAATATCCTTTTATATTCCACCGATACTCCAACCATTTTTTACTAATAATAACTTAAGGAGGAAATCTTTGCTACATTTTTATGTTATCGATGCTATAAAATTGTTGACAAATCTTACTAAATCGTTACTATATTTTTCTAGATTTGTAATGCATTTTTTCTAGTCAATATTTGACTTATTGTCTATCTAGCTCCTCAAAGTTAACTCAAAAATGTAATGACGATACAACAAATTACCAATGAACACTTGTTTTAAATTTGTAAAGGAGCCATTTATTTTATTACCTGTGTCCCGCTTGAATGAGAATGTTGGGGTTTTCAAAGATTTCCAATATTTACTCTTCGCCTTCAAAAGATGCTTTTGTTTCCATTCTGTCAATTTCGGTAATACCCGCGAATGCTGGAGCAAGTTTCCATCTCAATACCACATTAATTCTTGGCAATCGTTTAAATTACGTTTGTTATTACCAAACATTAATATCATTCCAAAAGTTTCTTGATCAGCCATCAACTCTATTTTAGTCATCATTTTTCAAAAACTTCAAAGAGACAAAAAATTACAATGTACTGCTTGATCCTAAATCATCACCTTTGATGTATCAAATAATACTTCCATTTCGCCACCAATGTCTGAATCTCCTCTTCTTTCTAATATGAATATCCATATTGGTAGCCTGTTCATTTCCAATACGTCCTGTCATTTAAAGTTAAAGTAAAATCTGTCTTCTATTCCATTTATATGTTTATCTCAGAATCTTCGTCGCAGTCTCACCCATCTTCCTATGTCCTGTATTCCACATTGTTGTCTAATATCTTCCTTCCGTATTCTGTCGTATAGCGTTTTGCCTTGTATACTTCTTAGTATCTTCAATTCGACTATTTTCATTATATGTAAAATCCTGCTTGTCTGGTCCGCACATGCTATGATGCGTCTTATAGCCATTTTTTATATGTTGATTTTGCTTTTGATATGAAGGATGGTTTTGGTTTCATTGTGCTTCTATTTGAAAATCGCTTCGACAGTTTTATATCAAAGGATCTCTAATTTTATTCATGTAATTAAATGATTGCTATTTGCATAAATTCTTTGTGTTCTCTACAGCCTTCAAAAATAAGGTAGTTGTTACTATTATTATCACTGAGAATGTCCTACCAGATCTAGAAATTGTGGAAATTACCGATACTGCGCAAAATGCAAATTCAGTGGAGAATTCGTTTGATGTGACTTAAATGATTAACGATGATACTCAGAAAACTCAAGAAGATACAGGCTAAGTCGTGAGAGATTCAGAAACAGTGTTAATATCAAAAAAAACTTTGATGAATGCGATTTATTCTTGTGTGGAAATTTTTAAGAACAATAGCTTTTAGTTGAAATGAGAACTGTATGTTATACAATGACAATTAAAGTGCGGGAAATTTGACAAAAATCCCATCCATTACAAAACTCCAAAACATATTATTTTTGGGCTACGTCCTTTCGTTGGGGTTGTTATTATTAAAGCAGTTTATATGCAGATTTATAACATCCTGTAAAACCTAACCATTGTATAAAGAAAGTATATATGGAGAATCTTTATTTCCATTTCCACTTTGACTAATTGTTTCATACAAACTTACATCATGTGAAAACATCATATGAATTCAGATTAATTCAGGGTGATAATTCAAAAACCCGAATTAAAAAAGCATTTTTCAATTACGAAAAAGTTTTACGCAGGTTATGTCATTACAAAAAAACCCTTTATCACATATTCTACGATAATACCGGATTTCCCCTTCCGTTTTCCCTAGTTATCGTTTCAACACCTTTTCATAACATGTTGTGGTCGCAATTTCATTTCAGTTGGTGAAATAAATTAACAAAAAGTTTAGTCAAAGGTCATTTTTAGTATTCTGTGCGTGGTTACTAGTCTGTTCGTGATGACTGAACTAATTTTCAGGCGTGCAAACGTGCTGATCTTCACCTATCCATCGCATTTTTTGTTTTTCTGTATTCTTAGTCTTGCTCTTTGGGGTCCAATCCGTTGTCCAACATTTTAATATTTCTATCGTTATCACTATTTCAGCTATTTTGTCATATTTTTTATCTTACTAATTGAAATCTTATCATTTAATTTTATAGCTAGTAGTTTTATACCTCGTCAACACTGGGCTTATATATAATGTTGTCAAATATTTTTCTCTACGTTTCTATGTTTAATTTACCTTTGAGTGCCCTTTTAACCGACCAATAATTCACTTCTCGATTTGTTTTTAATCTGTCGTGAAATGACACTGTTTACTCTAAATACAAATAATCTTTCCATGGATTATAGTGGAAGTTCTTCATCTTTTGCAGGTTTATTTTTAACTCAGTTTTTTTACCAGTCTTATAAAGCTCGTTCAGCTGATTCTGCTACTAATTCGCACTATTTGCAAATACGACAATCATCGATTCCAATTCCTCTGTCCTTTTCCGGAAAACTAGTTATTCCATTATTAAGTAGTTGAACAAATCGAGTCATAAAGGATCTCCCTGTCTTACTTCTCTCACAATGTTGAGCTATGGCTCCCGACGTTCTAATTTGTCTCCAACTTATTTGATCTCATTTGACTCGTTTGACACTTGATCTCCTCTTCTCTCCATAATAGTCTCCATAGATCTCGGTGTACTATAAGAGAAAGTTGCACTCCTTTTCTAGCGTACTTTTAATTCTTCTTTGGTGTAAGACTGATTCGGAGATAATAGTTTTATATTTTTTTTAATGAATTAGTTAACAGTATTTGTGATGTTTTCCATTATTTTGCAATCCTTATGTTAGTTATGATTTTATTGAATAGGACTTGAAACGGTTCTAAAAGTTGTTCCTCCTCCTGGGCTTTTATTGTGAGCAGTTTTAAGAATGGCATTTAGAATTTCAAAATTCCGCACCTTAGGAAAAAGGAGTCTTTTGAGGTGAGTTATCATGTTTGATCGCTAAGCCTTACTAGGTTTCTTACTTTTATCATTTGTATTTATGCTTTCTAATATGGTTTAAATCTGGCATTATAGAGTTCTTGGGCTTTCTTCCCTTGTAAATTATCCATTGTTTTCAGCCTCTTACTAACTGCTTATTGATTTTTATCAAATTATCTCAAAATTTCTCCGCTGTAGTTTTTGAGTTGGCACCATATTTTTATTAACCGTTTGGGTATTAGCCATTATTTATCTTTACAACCAGTATTGCTATGCTTTGATTTACTCCTCTGATTATGAATCCTGCGCCTATATTGATTGTTTAAATACTCTCGTAGTTTCTTCTTTTTCTCTTCATTCCCTACCCCAGCGTACTCCTATCGTGGTGTTGGGGGGTAGCTTCGTATCCATCTTCTGAAATTTTCCCTTTCCCCAGCAAGACCCTTGATCTGCTGGCTGCAATCTGCGTCACTCGGTCTCCCTATAAGTTGCCTGCTCTGCGCTCTGGCCTCCATGTAAGTATATCCATGGTTTGCTCACCTCTCCCACTCGTCTTACGTGTCCAAACCAAAACAGCTGTCTATTCTCAATTATCCTCTCGTCCGACTGCCTATTGAGCTTTTCTCGAATACTACTGTTCCGTACTCTACCCCGTTGTGGCTTCAGTCTCAAGCTCGTCTGGTGGATTGTCGTTCATAGATATTGATACCTGATGATCTGGGTAAGTTGTTGACCATCACATTATGTGGATGTTATCTACCTGTTCCTCTATCCTCGTCACCACCATAACTTGACCCTTCACCTTGTTCAACTTTATGACCCTATCCTTTAGAGATTCTGACCACTCGCCGGCGATGAGGACTACATTATCTGCATATATCAAAGCCTGGCACATGACCGGTCTGAGGTTGAACATGCCGCCCACCAAAGATTCTGTTCATCTCTTGCATGTCTTCACCACTTCAACTATAGAAGCTACAAATAGCAATGGGATAAACTGTCTCCTTGTCTAAAACCATGTTCCATTACGAACATGCTAGAGATCTTCCCGTTAAGCATCACCGGAACTCGCTGGAACATGCACCTGATTAGTTGTGGACCCTTTCTTCTCTAGTCTTTTCCATACCTCTTGCCATGGATATGCCTCATCACACGAAGAGTGCATATTCAAGAAAGCCAAGTATACAAATTTACCTTTACTGATCCATTTATCAATTATATAGCGGAGTGAAAAAATGAGCAAAAATTGCAAAAATGTTTTGCAATGACATTAATGAGACATATTGCCCTGTAATTTTCTCAGCGTGTCGAGTCTTCTTTCTTGTATATAGAGGTGATTATGTTTCTTTGCCAATCTTCTGGTATCCGACCTAGTTTCCATACCGATTGGAAGAGTTCTTTAATTTTTTCGGCCAATACTATGCCTCCTGCCTTCACCATTTCTGGTACTATTTGGTCCTCCCCAACTACCTTTCAATTCTTCATTTTGTTGACGTTCGTCTTGCATCCCCTCGAAAGTTATTGACTCTACTTTGTCGCTGATTCTGATTCAGAAGAAACTACTGATGTAATATTCGTATATTAATAGACCCAATAAAAATTGTATTATGGAGGTGCTCAGCTCTTTGTACTGTAGTTATCAAGGGTTCTCTTCGTGCATTCTTTTTAATGGATTTTCTGGATTTCAACTGCTTATTTTACAACAACACTTTAGTTATGTTGGAGATTTGTGAATTGTAAACTTAACTAGTTATTTTTAGTTCTACAAGGTTCATATTGGCGTGGACCCACGACCTAAACAAGTCTCTCTCTTAAATACTTTACCAAAGTCTAACATTTTATTCCATGTGATACCCTTGTCAGACTCGGAATGAATGCAGGCTGTTGTACAAATTTTGTTAATTTATCAGTGCTACGAGACGTGTCCATAAAATAAGTACCGTTTTGAAAAAAAAAACACATAAAAACATTTTTTCAAAATATGAATTTATTTTTACATGTAAGAGCATGTCTTAAACTATATTTCTTCTTAGTTGCCACCCTCTTCATGGAAAGATGCCGCCAGTAATGACAAAGTTGTCTTAAATTTTTCAATCACTGGTCACAAACTTGCTGAAGAATTCATCTCCTTCATCATTGAGGAGTAAAAAATGTTAAAGCACTTCCAAGTCGCTTCGTTTTGTGAACATTCGTGAGCATTTTTGGAACACAATTTCCGATAATTTAATCGTTTTGTGACAATCTCATGCAATACAGTGGATCAAAACGGTACCTACTTATTTTCCGGACACGCCTTATATAATAATGCCAAAAAGTTTAGTGTAGACCACTCCAGTTAATCCATATTTTATTTTAGGTTTACGTTTTTGTTGAAAATTATTACCTATGAGATCATCATTGAGATCAATTTTATTATTAGAAATTACATGCACTACAAATTTATGATTTAATTGTTGTTCATTTGAATAAGAAATGGGATAATTTGAAAATGGGCTATTTCTGCAACCATGTTTAAGAGTTAATACTATTCTTATTATTATATATTATTAAATTCTTTTTACTATTAAATAAATAAATTAAGAAAAGCCAAATTTTTAAAATATTATTAATTATCTTACCGATTCACCAAATCTTCCACCACTACCTCCACTGTCTTGAAAGTTCCCGCTCGCTATTCTCTTGCTAAATTTAAAAATACTTCTTGCAATCATCACGTTCATTACAACAATTAATACGAATGGCATAATAAAAGAAAAAACGGTATCGAAATAATTAAGAACGGTCATTATGCTGTAAAGTTCCGGAACGATTTCGCATTCTAAACCATTTTCTCGCTGTAAGACTCCGGACGTCCAAAACACGTAAGCATGGATAAACATTGCAACGGTGGTCAAGCCAAAAACGACCGATTTAGCCCTGGAAACCGTACACATTTGTGGTCTTTTCAAGGGATATTGTACGGCTATGAATCTTTCAACGGTAAAAGCGACTATTAACCAAGTACTTAATGAGCTGGAAACTTGACTAACGTAAACGAAAAGTTCGCACCAACCGTCAGTGTTAAAAAAGGAATTTAAAAAGACGACGACGAATAAAGATATTAGGTAAACTAAATCCGCTATAGCTAAAGCTGCTAAATAATAACTTGAACTTCTTAGTTTTAATGAAGTCGATAAAAATACAACGCATGATAATAAGTTGCCGATTACACCGATTATTATTAAAAAAGGAATGTAATAATCTCTTAAAAGTACTAAAATATCGTAGTTAAAGATCAAAAAACATTCGTTTTCGTGAAAATAAGTTAAATTCATTTTAAATTGTTAAGTTTCGATTTAAGATATTCAGAGATATTTGGTGGGCTTTAACTACGACGTCGCGACGCTTACTGAAACCACGCACAACGTATTCGAGAGCTTCGCAAAGTTCAAACTAGAACTAAAGCGCGTGCGTTAAAATATTGTTGATAGTTATTCGTTTTCTTAATAGCTGTCGAAATATAGGTATACCAAATAATTATGGATTAATACTAAAAAGATATTATTAATAAATTACATTTTCGTTTTGATCGGTTTTCATACATGAGATATCGTGATTAAAAAAGTTAATAGATTGTTTAACACTATGCTCTGAAATCTTCTTTAAAGTAGTTTCTTTAAAATCGATTACTGGAAATAAGCTTTGGTGATTCGATTTACGAGTTAATAAAAAGTGATTACTTTACTTACAAGAAACTACCTACACAAAGGGAACTTGTTGCTTCAAGAAAAAGTTAACAACCTCGCGTCATATTCGGGACAAAATAGTGCTCGAATTTTTAGCTTAAAGGAAGAAAATTGGAATGGGAATATGAAAAGAAGATTATCTCATTATTAATAATAATCCTCATGTTTCATTTAACCTGATTGAATGTTACAAATAGGTGCTTTTAATATGTTGCGTGGGTGACATCTAAATATGAAATCATTGTAAACTTTATATAAAGCTGAAAACGTGGTTGAAAATCGATATTGATGCTTCGGTTATTTATACTCGAAGCTGTTAAAACTTAACTAAAAGAATTTGAGGAGTTGATTGGTAACGTTGCTATAGATTAATAAAGTTTCAAATTACAAATTGAAAATGATATATATCCTTTCTTGTTATGAAGCCTACCCTACTTCCTTAATTTTGAAATCAAAAATAGAAGATGAACAAAAAGGGGTAATTTAGTGAGCGACATAATTATTAACGACAGTTTTTACTCTTATCATTTTTCGCAGTTATGAAATTCAATGTCTGTCTTAATCAGATGTAGTTCGTTCTCAGGTTACGATCATGATCTAGACTATCTAGAGAGATTAGAAAAACCTTGTCCATTTTATTGTTTTCAACTCTAATGAATAAATTACGACAACGTGAGGGTAGTTATCTCAATATAGTTGATACTCTACATCAGCGAATCGCAATCATTGGGGTCGCGACCCAATTTTGGGTCGCGCTGTCCTACATCATAGAACAAACTCAATATGTTGAGTTGTATCTTGATAACAATTCGATCAAAGTCTACAATTCTCTTGGTATATAACGCTAAGATTACATTAAACTTTAGAAGATGTAAGGATATTTGTCCATTGTCGACTTAGCTTACTCTCAGTCCACCTTCCAATTCTTTTCTTTGCAATCGCAGCTTTTCTGCTGCAAAGTTTCTACCAGTGGTGGAACGGATATCCGGCAACTATCCGGTATCTGGCCTATCGGGCCATTTTTTAAAATCGGGCCGGATACCGGATAGTTACCAAATATCCGGTTTTGGCCGGATATTAAAAACCTATTACTTAGGCTCGTTACTACCATTTTCTGGTTAAGCTATCTAAGGGATTATTACTACCGTTACGGCTATTTCACGCGCTCTGATTGGCTAGTAGATGGGTTTATCTATAAGATAAATTTAACGAAAAGATGGTAGTAATGGACCTTAGTACTTCACCATTCATAGGAATTAGTTAGTATCTCTTTTAGGCGTTGGACACTGAAGATAATAATCAAGTTCAACCTCAATAGGACATTTTTCAATGAATACAACTTTATTTATATCTGGTTTATCATTAGCAACCTCATGGTAACAATCCCAATATAATGCTGCAAAATCTCTTGTTGCAGTTTCGTCTAGTTTTTTTCTCTTCGCTTGTAATTCATCATTACATTCATTACTAACTGTCGCTGTTATCATTTTCGATTATTAATTAAAATATCCTCTTTTAATGCAACAAGCCGTTTTGAAAAATCACTTTCAGTTCTTGAGAAATAAAATTTCGAATTTTTGCCGATTAAGTTTCAAAAATTCGTATGAAATCCAGTTCTTGGAATATGAGTATGAAAATTTTGAAAAGTGTTAATAAAAGTGTCCTCTTTCTAATAAACCAACCCGTTTTGAAAAATAACTGTAGTTTTTGAGAAAATAATATTTGAAGTTTTGATAAAATTGTCGATGTTGCAATTTTCATCGATAATTTTCAAAATTCTCTATACAATTAATTTCTTGAAGGATCCTTGTNTTTTGATAAAATTCTCGATGTTGCAATTTTCATCGATAATTTTCAAAATTCGCTATACAATTAATTTCTTGAAGGATCCTTGTAGAAATATCTCCAATTAAACGATAAATTGAACTAGAGGTGTTGTTATATGAAAGGTTTTTTAAAAAAAGACCACTTTTCCTCCGTAATTGTTATAAATTAATCAATCTGAGACGTTTCGGGACACCTCCCATCTTCAGTCTACAAATAGTCACTCGTAATATTATCTCTAATCTTGATATGATGATTTAAAAAAACAATATTTTAAAATTACTTTGCATACACGTATGTGCGTCACATTGTACAACTGTTTTGAAAAAAAATTTTGAAAACAGTTGTACAAAAAACCTTTCATATCTCCAATTATTAATTAAAGAATCCTCTTTTTAATGCAACAAGCAGTTTTTAATAATCACTTTTAGTTCTTGAGAAATAAACTTTTGAAATGATCTTCAATTTTTTCGAATTTGCAATTTTCGCCGATTAAGTTTTAAAAATTCGTATAAAATCCACTTCTTGGAATACAAGTATAAAAATGTTCCCAAAATGTTAATAAGAGTGTCCTCTTTCCAATGAACCAACAGGTTTTGAAAAATAACTTTTAGGTTTTGAGAAAACAATATTTGAAGTTTTAATAAAATTTTCAATGTTGCAATTTTCATCGATAACTTTCAAAAATCGCTATAAAATTAATTTCTTAAAGGATCCTTGTGGAAATATCGCCAATTATTAATTAAAGTATCCTCTTTTTAGAGTTGCTTCGTTAGTAAATCAGCATCAGAAAAGTTCATGTTGTATTTTGGATCCAAATAAGTTGACATATCTTATCAGCTTTCTTATTAATTTCATAATCAATAACGAGCCGAATATCCGGTACCCGGCTTTTCGCAAAATCACTATCCGTTCCATCACTAGCTTCTACCAATTACAAGATTTGGAGCTGTAGTTAACTCATCAATCACCTCATGCTCAGCCACATCGCTATGATCTAAGTAACTGCTATGATTTTTATAGCCTCCCTTGAGTTAGCTAGGGAGAGTAGGAACAGACAGCTTGCAATCATCGGCAAGATAGTGACTAGTTGAGGCTAAACCCCGACTGACTAAACCCTTAGTCACGTAATTCATCTTCTTTGTAAAACAATGTGTGTTTTTATACACCTCCATCTCCGGCCTCGCCCGAAGTCGACACTACTTCTATTTTTTGCCCTACTCATACCATGTCCGGATGATGACTTTCTTTCAAGCTTTTCGCCATCATGGATTCTAGCATATCGTATATCGTCTATAGCTTCCAGCATGTCCGCTTTCCTGGTGTGGTATGGAGTATCCGTTAGTGAACGCAGAATACTATTTCTACACGATACCAATTTCTTGACGTTATTGTTACTTTTCAATACTGGTACTCTATACATATATGAACCACAGTTCATATGTATGGCTTCTGTTATCCTTATCTTTGTTGTTACTCCTCTTATCACGAAGTATAGCTTATTTGCCGTTCTTTTCGCAATGCTTGTTAGCCTCTTGGTTGCTTGTTTTCCGGCGTTCAGTTTCCCGGTAAATGTTACTCCTATGTATGTGATTTCCTTTATCATCTCTATCCTCTGCTCTATCCTTTTAATAGTACTGCAATCATCTGATGTCTTACCTTCTGGGCAAGTTCCAACGTACTAATGAAATTTGCCCTCTCCGTTCCCTGAACTCTACTTCTTCTTGCAGCCGCTCCAACAGAATTCTTTCAGTAATCTTCGCCTACCCGACCACGAGACTGAGGGGTCTACCGGGATGTGATGCATCCTTTCACAGTTTTGGGATTGTTAACACCATCGCTGCTTTTCGCGAGTCTGACAATGAATTCGATTTTATTATCCCGTTAACTATCTTTGTGATTTACAATCTTGTGTTTTTCAGAAGCATCTTCACTGCCTTCTGTGAAATACCATCCAGTCCAGCAGCTTTTGTTGGATTTAGTATTTCGATCCTCTTGCTATATCTCTAATTTCTCTCTTGTTGACTAACTGAAATTCTAAACAATTCGCCAAAAGTTGCACTTTTTCTTGGTTATCGATTATCTATTTGCTAAAAGTCCGGCTTTTTCATTGAAATTGATTACCGTTCCTATCGCTTCCATTTCCGTGGTTAATCACTTAAGGACAAACAACGAGCAAGTTAACTCGGGCGAATCTAAACTTTACGATTCATTTGGTTTAAGGTTGATTCACTGGTGTACAACTCTTGGCAACTTGTCCTTTTCCGAATTAATTCTTACCTGCTCATCCTTGATTAGGATAGCGGCTCGAATATTGATGATGAGAGTGATTCAAGTTCCGATTTGATGAAGGTATCGATTTGTCTATACTCCTAGACTGGTGGCTATTGACGCACCTCTCCGCTGTTTGCTTTACGGAAAAGCTTCAACTGCTGATTTGATCAGAGTGAAAATCAGCTTATATCCGGTATTTTAAACAACCTAACAGGTATGCAGACGTGAATGTCGGTAGTTCCCTTTTTGTTACTAACTTTTAGCATTTATAAATGGTAAGCGTTAACAAATGACGAAATTCGAGCTTTTCTTGTACTGGTAATGAGGCAGAGTATAATAACAAGCTAAAATCCAATATTATATTTTTACATCATTTTTTCGACAAACTATGACTCGCCATAGGTCTGAAATGATTAAAAAAATACCTGCTCTTTTCAAATAATGAAACGTATGATCGTATGATAATCGAAAACTCAACAAAATATGGCCAGGGTCTCAAAATTTGGAAAAAAAATTTGAAGATGTAATTGTCCCTAAAAAATTTATAACCATAGATGAAAGTTTTGCTCTATAAGGGCAACTTCGGATGGATACAATATACATCACTAAAAAGACAAAAACATACTTAGTCTGTGAGTCCAAAAGTGGTTATGTTTGGAACTTTTTAGTATATACTGGAAAACAGACTGTGTTGGACGAAGCATATAAAAATCTTCTAGTGTTGTGACAAGTTGTGTTTATATTAGCAAAGCCTCTTTCGAATAAAGGTTACTGCCTTACCATGAAGAATTTGTACAATTCTCCACATTTAGCCGATATTCTGATACCAATTATTCTGGCACAATAAAATTATCCCGAAAAGACGTACCCAAAGATCTCAAAGAGAAAAATTGAAGAAAGAGGAAGTCGGCGTAAAATGGAAGGATAAGAAGGATGTCAATTTGCTATCGATCGATATTCTATGAAAATAGATAGAGAGATACGTAAAAAAACGAAGAGAGGAAATGGTAGAGAAGCCAGTAATATGTAGTAATAGATTACAATGACAATATAATAGGAGGTGTTGATCGCACAGATTAACACTAAGTTAAACATTCAATTTTAAAAAAGCGGGATAAGAAGTACTTCGAGAAAATTTTCTTCCATCTTTTAGATTTATCGTTATGGAACTCATGTGAAATTTACTGAAAACAAGGGAGGAAGAAAAAGGATGGATGGAATTCGGAAAATCTTGAGTATCAGGCAAACTTTGAATTTCTTTTTTCACTAATTTTAACTTATTTTGAAAATCAGCTTATGGAACCCGATTATCAAGAAACAATAAAGATATTATAAAAAAAATCGAACATTTTGGAACAGAAATCTGAAGAAAATTTGTTCCTAAAGTCCTAAAATGTCCTCTCTTGCAGGAACGTATGTAGTCTGCAACGCCTCTCACTGCCCATAATTTTGTGTCCTTTCTGTGCCATTTTAATCCTGATATTTTACCGGCGTGATGTAGCAACAGAAGGATTTCGCTTATTATTATTATCGAAATCTCTTCTTTGTTTGCAAATTCCATAAGTTCTTTAGACTCATTGTTAATTTCGTGGGTGTTCCATGTTACCAGCCTGTTTTTCTGACATAAAAAATTGTTATATTTACTTACTATCTCTGATTAGTGGTACTATCGTAGGAATCAATACCTAAAGAGTGTTGAACACCATCTGAGCCAGCTTTTAATCTTCCTCATCTTTGCCTTCATATGGGGTCGAGATTTTCGATGTAAAGATCTTTTTAATACATTCTGCTTTACTAGCATACGACACTTCTGTTTTGATTTCGGCATCCTTGGTAGTATTCACCAGAACTAGCTGTAATTTCTTGTCTTTTCAGCTTTCCGCTCTATCCGTCAACTCTTGGAAACTGATACTAATGAAATTTCAATTTCATTGCTTCGATAAGTTGAAAACTTTAGATGTTTTGAAAATGTTTCTTAATATAAAGTTTAAATCAAAACTGTTAATGTGTTTATTGATTAAGCACCGGAATTGGTAAAGACAAAAAAAAATTTATAAATTGCTATCTCTATTTATAACAATACATAAACCGGATTAGACATCCCACCATTACGGTAATTGCATTCGATTTAACCCCTAGAACGTCCATCTAATTTCATAATTACCAAAAGCAGCTTTCGGTAATCCCACACAAGCTTATTAAAGCAATGGTCTATGTATGTTTCTGTGGTAGTTCTTTGATGGGATTGCAATGTCGTATTAAGGAATTTGTTAGTGTAAGTCAAAGTACATCTAATGAAACACAATGTAACATGCACTCTCATTTTGGTGGATTTAAATTGAACAGGTTTTCTCACAGGCTTAGAAGACTCTGGATTCCATTTAGTTTATATTACTGGTTTATATGTCTAACTAAATTTTGCTGAATTTTGCTCTGATTTATTCTCTAGGTACTTTCAATCAATGGAAAAAGATTATTCGTGGTATAACTTAAGATTAACTTGTGTATTCGCAACATATTCAATTCTACTTGTAAGACAGAGATCGATCTATCTTTAAAAAAAATTCTGCAATTCCAGATTCGATTCTAGATCTTATACAGATCATAGCCCTTATAGCCTTGGCGGACTGTTTGTGAAATAATGTATTAATCCTAACTTAAAACGTTAAATTAAAAACTTAAAACCCATATTTTCCAAATTTGTACGCTCTTTTTGATTGCAATGTGTTATTTAAACCCAGAATTAAATTATAACATGAAATATGCAGATAAGTCGAACTATAACTAAAATCGATCTGCAACTACCGTAAATTGTTGGTGCAAATACGTTTGGAACTATTTAAACCTGTTGAAAATGGAATCAAAAAAATTTGTTTTCGAAACTGTTTTAAATTTCTGTTTTTAATTGTTTAAGGTTCGATCATAAAACCAACTCATCAAAAAAAACTTCACGTTAACATGTTTTATAGATCTCTGTTTTTTATAACTTAGGATAAAGGTTAATTAACCGTAAGCGGCAGGTCACAAAAAGTCGATTACGTTCAAAGAAGGTCTATGTAACAAAAGAGAATACGATGTAATAAGAAAAACCCTTTTCTGTCAAGGATTTCAAGTAAAGGGGATTGGATATCACTTCGATTAAGCGCACCATGTAAGATATAAGACCTTACGGATTCAATTTAGAAAAACATTTCCTTTCTAAGAAAAAAGTCTACTGTATCAATTTCTCACTTTTATTAAAAAGAATAAAAATTTAAGGTTCAATTGAATATTATTTATTAAGTTTTTTTATAATGAAAAGCAACGCTTAAAATGTTTTATTTAAAAATTAAATTACCTTTTAAATTAATACATAAAAAGTGGAAAGGAAACACCTTCTTTAGTTCATTTCTTAACTTGATCATAAGACGAGAGGAAAAACCACAATAAAACGAAAAACCATTCCACGTTGAAAGTAGAAAACACATAAAACTCACTCTATAAATTCAAAGCTTCAGGTTATAAAATCCCTGATGAAGATTTCAAATTGTGATACACTTACTATATTACCTCTTTTAATTTCGTTCTTTAATTTAAATAAATTTATTTTTAAATTTCAGTGTTACATCGCTCTTCAACAAGCGATGACTAGATTAAAAGGAAAACCACAACCGAGCGGTTATCCATTTCAACCTGTTCACACTTACGTACTTAACCCAAAATCGATTACAATGGGACAACTTTATGGTGAATTTGATCTTCAAACACACGAATGGTAACATTGAAATTCTATAATTAATAATAATTTTCTAAATATGTTGTAATTTTTTAGGACTGACGGTATTTTACCATCATTGGTAAGAGTTGGAATTAATGCTGAAAATAAAGATAAACGTTGGTATATTTTCGATGGTCCCGTCGACGCCGTTTGGATCGAAAACATGAATACAGTATTGGATGATAACAAAAAGTTGTGTTTGAGTAGCGGGGAAATCATTAAACTTCGAGATACGATGACGATGATGTTTGAAGTTGCTGATTTAGCTGTAGCTTCTCCGGCTACTGTTTCAAGATGTGGAATGGTTTATTTGGAACCGGGTGTTTTGGGCTTGGAGCCGTTTGTTAATTGTTGGCTCTTAAGGCTTCCGCAAGTAATTTGTTATGTTTATTTTATACGTTAGCACAAATTTCATAAAGTCTTAGGGAATGTTGAGTATCTTTAATTTATTAAAACAATATCTCATAGGTCAATAAAAAACTAAAGCTTTAACATTTTAACTTTATGTAATATGTAATGCTGAATTCTTACAGAAGGCTAAGAGTATTTAAGGAAGATGAAGTAAATAGCAACTTCAATATTTTCATAATATGTTGATAAGTACATAAAACGCGCGTCAAATCTAGCTTAGAATTGCAGTAAACAAAATAAAAAACAATTTCTTTTTATAAACTTAAAAGGAGTCGAATATCCGACTTTTCCTACCATCTAAAATAAATGTTATTATAATCGAGAGATTGCATATCCTGGTGTCTTTTTGTCAGATAGCAACTACAAGAAGCATAACTACTACTTATCATCAGTTTATTTTATTAACAAGTCGATTTCGTTGTGAGATTGGTCAAGAATTGCAGTCTATTCAATTTGGATTAGCAGAAAGATACATGCTCGAAACGATGTTGCAACGACAGTGAATCACACAACTTTAAAACTAGTTCTATATTACTGCACCAATCGCCCAAACATAGTATTAGCGATTCAGAGAGAATATGAAGACCTTGAAACATGGATTTAAATCATGCAATGAAAAAGGCAAAGAAAATGTTAAGAAGTGGAATCAGACACTAACTGGAAAATAGGAGGAAATAGCTGAGATGAAAAAATATGGGATAATATAATAGGAATACTTGGTATCAATAAGATTAAGAGGAAGGTTAAGAGAGCATTAAGATACACAGCAATTCTGCTGGGAAGTCGGGCCAAAGAAGAAGTGGGACTAATAACGAATGCTGGGAACTCTGAATTCCAAAATTATTATTGTTATTCTAAATTTGGATGAAAAAGTAGGATTCATACAAATATATGTTCCAACAGAAGACGCAGATGTGAGAGGAATTTCCAAATGGCAATGGAAAAAATTCAAAACAAAGTGAAACATATAATGATAACAGGAGCTGGAATGCACGAAGCAGATGAACCAGAAGGATGATTAAGTAAAGAATTGTGAGAACTGTGTAAAGAATTACATTTAAAGATTAGGAGTTCAAATAGAAGAGATGATGCCAAAAGGTGGGCCCTTTCAGTTGCTAAGCTGATGGTTCACAAAAAAACGCGCAAAAAGTTTTACACTGCTTTAAAAGGAGCTACTGAAGAATGTAAAACTCTGCTTCTACTATATGTTTCTGTGCAAGATGTGTTTTATACATAGTTAACAACCAATGAATTCTGTATACATAATTTATAGGAAATCAGGATCATACTTCTATATTTACCATGAGGTCCTTGCTATATGACTCAATAGAGAAATACATGAAACCGTCTACCTCAACATATTTAGTAATAATTGCTCAGGGCAAAACAAAAATCTTGCAATAATAAGGTTGCCGATGGCTCTATCCATACTAGCACTGAGAGATTTGATTGTATTGAACATATCTTTCCACTAAGAGAGCTTTCATGCATAATAAGAAGTTCAAGAATTGCAGCTGCTACATTATCTATAATATTTGATATCTTTATAAAGAACGTTTAAAAATACTTTTCCATAAGTGCTAATGCATAGATGTAGTTCTAGTTGGTTCTACTTGGGTAAGTTTGGAGGAGAAAAGCTCTTAATAATAATGGTAGTCGATTTTTTTATTATAAACCAGCTCTTCTAACCTATGAAGCCGAAAGGCGTTAGGAGATGGAATCTCGAATCCATCTTCTGAAGTTTTCCCTCTCCCCAGCAAATCCCTTGAGCAGCTCAAGGATTGGCATAATCTTCCCTCGGCTGGCCGCAATTTGCGTCACTGTCTCTTCCCATGTTGTTCTGGAGGAGACCAAGAACCTCTCTGGCCTCCATGTATATCCGTTTGTTCCTCATCTGTTCTATTCGTCTTACGTGGCCAAACCAGGACAGCTGTTCTGTCGTGTCTTTTCTGCAACCCTCCGAAGGCATTTCATTTGGACACCGTTAACCCTACTCATGTCCCTTCTATTTGTGGTCCAAGTTTCATTGCCATAGGTAAGTATAAGCTCAATGATCTGGTGGATTGTCGTGATTGTCCAGATAATGCTAGCTGCTGAGCTGGGTGGAAAGTTGACCATCACATTCGATTTGGATGTTATCTACCTGTATATATGTACCTGTATATACCATATTTTGAATTTCATGGAACTACAATGTTGTTGAAATACGTGGGTTTTTAATGATCTGGTTTTAGATTTAGTGATATGATTACCAAACTTTCTCTGGGTTCCCCAATTCTGGGTTGGGTTCGTTTCAAGATTTTTTCTATTATTCCTTTCTTAGTGAGGCTACTAAATCCTTTATAGAATTCTTACATACAAAATTCTAAACAGTAATTACTAGAATGATGACTACTAACTTACATACTTCGAGTTACTTCGAGAATTATTTTGTTGATATTAAAATGGTCTTGGTTTTATTTGATGAATAAAAAAAAAATATAAAATGGTCGAACGCTATTGACGAGTGGCACTGCTTAAGGGCGTTAAGAAGAAGAATTAAGAATACTAATTAATTGGATAATTTCTGAAATTCAAGGCTGGTAGTGGTACAATAATCGTATAGGGTTTTGTCGTATTGGTTGTTTGAAAGTTGTGATGCGTGTACAGAGAGATTTCTAGTCCTTGTTGGACTAGAGATAGGAGTATCGCGTATGGGCTTAATGCCGCTTAGTTATATTAATTAAATTACCTTAATGTATACTACTCACTGAGATTGCATTGTGATCGCTATTGGTACATGACCCCGATTTCTATTTCCGCGTGTTTGATTTTGTACAAATGTACCAGATTTGATGCATTTAGGTCTCCAAACAATTAATTATTACATATTTCCATTGTTGCCAATTTTTGATATAACGTAGTTATGTGTTAGTTTTTTGCATTTAAATGGTTACAAGAAACTTAGGATTTTAGTGCCCTTCATTCTGAAACATTTTGTTGCATTACTTGTTTAGTTTCGACAAAGTAATAGAATGAAAAGAGGCAAAACAAACAGGGACTACGTTCGAAACCGTTTCCTCGCACCACGTGTCCAAAAAGTTTTGCAACATTTTCAGCCACCTCGACTCGCAATCGCTCTTATGGTTTCAGTTGTTGTAGTATTGACGCGTTAGTTCTCCTCTGTGTCCACGCAGTTCATAACATTCTGCGTCAGCAAAACATCTCTAGGGCATCGATTTTCCTTTTGTCCATTGTTCAGAAGACTTCTCGCATCGACTTCTCATATGACTTCTCCATATGTTTGTTAATTTATTCATGGCTTCCTTAACTAGCGCGTTTTTCTTGTTAATCTCTCCGCTGGAGTCTCCTTTGTTAGATATTAATGAACGTCAATTTGTAGATATTACCCATCTTCCTTATTTTAAATCTGTTATCGTTCGCTCGGTCAATTATCATAATTTTAGTTCACGATTAATTTTTTCAGTTCCGATTTCATTGCTGTATTGCTCTACTCGTCAGATAAAGTCGCATCAAGGGTGGTATCATTAACGTACCATTTTTATTCCCCCATTCTAGTCTTCCAAGTCTTTCCTCGTGGTCCACTCACCGTAAATGTTGAATAAGAGGGGACTGAGTATGCACCTATGCCTGACACCTTTTTCCACTTGGAATGGGTCAGTCATCTCCTTCTCAACTCTTACGTATGCTGTGTTATATTTTCGTAGAAACTCTTGATAATAGTTATGAGGTGTTGCTTATTTCATCTAGGATGTGCCAGAGATTGTGCCATTGTACGCAATCGAAAGCCTTTGTGTAATCTATACAGCGTAGATAAGTAGGCATATTAAATTTTCTGGCCTTTTTTATAATTTGTCTTATGTTCAATATTTGTTCTGGCGTACCAAGCCCTTGCACAAAGCCTAAGACTTTAGACTTTCTGCTATTATTTGGAACATCATTTTAGTTGCGTGCGAGATGAGGGCACCTCTCTGAAACCTTTTTTGTGGAGTGAGACATATATTGATTTAGTCCATCCATCCTAATCCCAAATCAGATGGAACCATTGATTTAGAACTATGTATGTACGTCTAGTCGAACGGAAAAGAAAAAGATGAAACTTTCGGGGGTGGGGGTTAAGGTGGATATGTTAAAGTGGCAAAGTAATCCTCCTCATAATACTTCTTACGTGTTTCAACAATTTTTTCTTTACATTTATACTCAAATATTAACATACACATTATTAAAAAAGAAGCAATTATTACCTACATACTCATATTTCACGTCTTATCCGATTAAAAGCCCGGATTTAAATTCGTTGGATTATTTCGTAAGAAGTTGAGTTAGATCATTTTGCTGTTCCTTTTGGCTTTTTGTTGCCTTTAAACCCGATCCACCATTAAAAGTCGAGAAAAACTTGGTTTAATTACTGCAACTAAAACTGTGAATGGGGTGAAATACTAGATCGATGAAAGAAAAAAATAAAGATCAAAGAATTCAAAGACTATCCAGAACATTAAGAATCCGAAATACAAAATAACGATAATGATGTGGATGTCAATGACGCTGATTCAAAAACCCTAAAAGTTAATATTTGAATAGGCGATGTTTTAAAAATCGAGCAAATAGAGATTCATTTCTTTATAAAATGTACATTGAACTTTATTTTACATATTTCGAAATTAATCCTTTGATGGTTATTGAGAAGGAAATTTACATTTCGAATTTCGCATCAAAATTGGATGATGACAGTTGATGAAATCGATTTTCCACCACCGTTGATTTAGGTTCGAACGTTGAAATTGACCATGTTAAATTAAAACGATATTATTAGAATTTGTGATTTGTTAGAATTTATGGATTATTTATAAAGACACGATTTACGATTATGGTGAAGCTAAGGAACTCTCCAATTACGGAGAACATCCCAGTTGTCGATCTGAATAATAAACGTTGTATGAATATGCTAAATCGATGTTATGAATAGTTTAAGAGTAACATCCAGATGGAAATGTTAATTAACGTGACTAATTATATTATCACAGCTTTCACGAAGAACAAAACCGCTTTATTAAACATAAAATATCGATCTTTGTTCTAAGAGATGACCTAAATTATCAAGGTTTAAAACGTACTACTATGTGATAAGTTGGACAAACTTTATTTCTATATTTTTAGTCCTAAACACACATGATGGCTAATGCGAAGTCATCCAATATTGTCAGCAACTACACAAAGGGATCGTTCGGAGAATGTAAACTCGAACTGTTCAATGGATGTTGAACTTCAATTTTGTTTACCGTAGAATCGATAAGCTAAAATATTATTGGGGACGCAAAGAAATATGCATACAATGAGGAAAATTATTCTTGACTTTCAAGAAAAATTTATTCTTGAATGGATTTCTTAGAAACAAGTTGATTACGAAGCCGTTCTATATCACGTTTCTCTACACTAACTTGGGTATATTGACCGTCGAAGTGCCGTATCTATCACGTTATCTACCTTATTTACTCCGATCTCCTTAACTCTCATACACCTGAGCTTGCACTGAAACTTTCAATCAATTCTTATACTTACATCGTTGTGCAGATCAATAAGTACTTTTTCTCGCTACATTTAAAAAGATACTCAACCTACAATTAAACCAAACTTTTATGAACATTTAAGTGGAAAGTTATTAATTTATTACATATAAACTTTCTATTTTAGCTAGCCACTGAATATGGTGAAAAATTGCATAACCTTTTTGAAATTTATCTGTACCCAGCTATTGACCTATTGAGATCGTCTCTAAAAGAAATACTAACATCAGTAGATTCGGCTTTGGTTTTGTCGTTTTTAGGACTTATGGATTTCAGATTATTACCATTAAGTGGGAAAGATAATAGACCTCCTCCGCAACAACAATTTCTTAAACTAACACGTAAGTTTAATTTTCTTAAATAATTAAAATCCTTAACAATGTTTAATATAAAACTTTTTGGAAAGAAGTTCTTTAGGAGCTATGTTAAAATGTTACCTTTATTAGTTTTCTTCGAAGTAGTGAGCCTATCTAGGCTTCTTTCTTGATTGTAACACTATCATCCGGTTAGTTGAAATATAAATTCAGCAAGAATTCTCTGAAAAAGAAAACACTAGACGTAGTACGTATACTTTAAAACATTGGAAAATATGGCAAAACATTAAATTGTGGTCAGAAACGGTTTGCTCGAAATAGATTGCATTAACTATGAGGAGAACATAAGAACACATTGAGTGCAAATTGAACGAACTTCAGTGTAACGGTCCCGTGCATGTCCTCTCCATCCTCGAAATTCTTTCGCTCGAAGACTCTCCTCGACGTCACACAGTGGGGCGAAACGCCGTTTTGCTGGCCAAAACTCAATAACTTTTAAATACAATTTTTTTGTCGAAAGTCATATATATAAACTGATATTCATTTTTAAAGAGCTTTCCATTGATGTATCACACATATTCCAGATGGTTGGATGGGGTAAACTACCCCTTTTTTGCTTTTATTTAAAAATTACCTTATCGATTCTAACGATATTTAGTACCCTTATGGTATATTTAAAAATGTTAGTTAAAATGTTGTCCCATTCGCGTAATAGCAGCCCTGTGAAATCATAAGTTAGTCACAATTTTTCTTTTAAAATAAGAAACAGATGATATTTAAATACAGATTTATTGTTTAAAAAAAAATAATGCTTACTTAATTGTTAAACTACACATAATAATGCTTACACTTATAATGGAAAGTTAATAAATATTAATTTTAGCAAATCAATGGCTTCTGAATCTAAGTCTAACTTTCTTTTTTCTACAACATGTCTAATTGATGAAATACAGGGTTTCCCAAAACTCCCTGGACGGAGCTATAAGTTTTGAACGAGTGAAGAACAAAATATGAAAATTTGAGAATCACTAAAGTGTCATAAAAGCTACATTCTTAGATAGTTTAGAACTTCCATGCAATGTGGAGTTTTTTTAGGGGATAACCACCCTTACATTTTTAAATAGCAAGCCATGTAGAGTTTTACCTTATTTTAAACGTAATGAAAAAAGAAACGCAACCCCATAAAGCAAAACCCGATATCTTAATTCTTTCAAGAATTATGAGGGGTTGACTACCAAATGGGAAAATAAAATGTTTTCATGCTTTTTTGCACTTTTATTACGATTTTTATAACAAATGTTCAAATTGTCAACCTTCTTCGTTCTCGCAATAACCCAAACGCTCATAGATGGAATTTTGAACCACCAGGAGCTATCCCAAGTGATATTGGTGGTTCTTCAAGTATGCGATTTTCCAAATCATTGATTGATTCTGGTTTTGTTGCATACACTCTACTTTTCATAAATCCCCAAAAGAAAAAATCGAGTGATGTTAGATCAGCGGATCGTGGTGGCTTTGAAAACGTACGGCTTAAAAAGTCTCGGACTGCGCGACTAAAATGTGGAGGACTACCATCTTGTTAGAACCACTTATTGTCAATACCATTAGGACACACGGCACGTACACTTGGAACCACTTGATTTTCTAGCAGATGCAGGTATCTCTCTCTGTCCAAATTTCCATTAATAAAAAATGGTCCCATTATATTCTCTCCCATCAAGTAGAAAGTAGCCTCGTCAGAGAAAACAACGTTCAAAAGAAAATTTCTGTCAACGTCACATTTTTCACGTACTATTTCACAGAATTCCAACCTTCTTTCGAAGTCACCTACGTTCAATGGGAAGTCACCATTTTCCCATTTGGTAGTCAACCCCTCATAATTCTTGAAAGAATTAAGATATCGGGTTTTGGTTTATGGGATTGTGTTTCTTTTTCCATTGCCTTTAAAATAAGGTAAAACTCGATAGGGGTTGCTATTTAAAAATGTAGGGGTGGTCATCCCCTAAAAACACTCTATATTGCATGGAAGTTCTAAACTATCTAAAAATGTAGTTTTTATGATTCTTTAATGATCCCCAAATTTTCAAATTTTTTCGTTCACTCGTTCAAAACTTATAGCTCCGTCCTGGGAGTTTTGGGAAACCCTGTATAAGGATCAGAGGTGTATAGTAACGTATTGAAAACATCTTGATTGGTGGCAATCCTTGAACATTTCCGAGCGTTATGTAACTGGTATTTTTTATAATCTTTATTTCTAGCTTCTTGTGCATCTTCTGAAAGTTGTCCTATTGGTAATACAGCATATTGTATGATGCTTTCACCATGAATAAGTATTTTGTGTACTGAAGCAGGCATGTAGTACCATTTATATAGCTCTATATTCCCCAAACTTTTTGGCATCTATGGCGCTTCCGCTGGCTAATGTTTAAAGAATTATGGAAAACCTTTTAATTAAATACTCATCTACTCCTGTAATATCTCCTGTGCAAGAAGGATTAAAAAAGAATCTTGTAGCAGTGCTACCATCGTTGGAGTTTCCAGTACCTTGTCGAGGCTTATCAATAATTATACCTACTTCATCTCTAAATCGGTCTTGTACTTGTTTTTTCTTAGTCTCTTTTTCAATCTTGTGTAAAAGATCAATGGCAGACCATGTTTTAAATGATAGATTGTACGAAATATGAAGAACCAACTCCAAAAATCTGATCCAAGTGTGTAAAGATGAGGTACCAAATTTATATGTATCTTCCCAAGATGGTCTTATTGTTACCTTCTCCAGATTATTCATTTCCGTTGGTTTGGCAAGGCATACCATACAAGTAGATATAGAAGGAGTGTGTGTTAATGTGCTGCATATTTTTCCATTGATCATTGTAAAAAATAATTGGTAGTTGCTTAACACCTACCATTATAAGTGTTGGCTCTAACTTATCAATTTGGGATTCTATATTTAAAACTAGACATCTGGTTCTCTCCGTAGATTATTCGGGAAACTCTATAGATATGGGTCTACAGAATCGAATCGAAGAAGGAGTTGGGTATTCCCATAATATTGTTGTGGATGTTTTGTCGGTTATACGCAAAGGGATTAATGATGAAATAAACAAATGAGAATCGGTTATTTGATCTGTTTCACCTGGTAGAATCTGTTTATATTGGCTTTGTCCAGAAGAGCCATCACATCCCCACTTACACATTAATATGAGATCAGTTACCGTAAGATATTTTAACACTTCCTCTAATTGTGTCTTAAAAAGTCTCTTGGTGGTGTGGTCAAGTAAACTTTGTAATGTTATACTGGCGCTTACTGGTGTGACAGTTATCGATGGAAGATCTGGGTAACAATCTTTCTTTGTGCTCTGAACTTGTTAATAACTAGGTCATAATTTACATCCTTGTGTTGCAGCGTATGATCGTAATATATTATACTGATACCTAGATAGTCCTATATCTGCCATTACAGCCAACGAATTTTCTTTACTCAATGGACTTTCGATACTTTCATTTTGGAATAATACGCGATAAACCAAATCTTGCTGTTCTGTTGATGTATTTTTTTATACTTTCAATAATATTTGCGTTCCTAATTTGGCCTTCTGCTCGTAGCCCTTGCAAAAATACATGACGTAATTGGTCCAAACCTTCAATCTGCAGCAAGCGAGATAAATTTTTTCTCTCTGTCCTTTCTCTGGAATTATCAAATGTTATACACGGACGGCCTCTTTTTCTGAGATTACTGCAGACGTAGATGATAGATTTTCCTCTTTTAGATTCACAACGAAATCTTTATCTAACCATTCAGAATTTTGTTTTAGAAAACGTTCTTTCATTCTATAAAATATTTTGAACAACACATTTCAGATCGGAGCGAAATCCGCTCCGTGCGGCAATTAAAAAAATATATATTGTTCTTCGAATGGGGCAAAAACGGGCACGAGATTTTATTATGGGCACATATTACATTAAATGGGGAATCTTTTGATACCAAGGAATCTCTAGTCGTAGGTAAATTTAGCCCACAACGATATGTCTACTCAAACATAAATTATTCATTAACTAGCAGTCTTATACAAAAGAAAATCTAGCAAGAAAACTAGCGAAAATAATGACATGTTCTTGTATAAAATGAGTAGAATACATATCAAAGTTAGTATATACAAAAAATCAGAAGTATTTCCGAAATGGTTTCTAAAATAAAAAGTTTTGAAATTCCGCAAAATTTTCGACGACCCATGGGTCTTTGACGGTATACTTTCCTCGCCTTTCGATCTTCCGGTATGCGTTCCAGATGACCCAGCTATTCAGGCACTTTTAATCTCTGCAACAAGTGTTGACTCTTAGTATAGCTGGTACAGTTCGTAGTTGATACGTATCCTCCATTTTCCTTGCTTCCAGATGAGGAATAACTCCTCCCTCACTGTCATCACCCCCGTCTTACTCCCGTACATCACTACTGGTCTCACAATGGTACGGTATATTTTGACTTTGGTTCCGTGACACCAACCATTACCTCAGCCTGTGCTGAATGGTTGATCGTCCCCTTCTGAAGCCGTTCTGATAATATTTGACCCTTATTGTGGATGAAACAAACAAATGTCGTATTCCATTCTTCGGGCATCTTTTCTTGCTGTCATATTTTAGAAATCAGTTTCAGATATTTTATTAAAACAATGATTAATTTTTAATATCTGAAACAGTTGGTTGCCATGGTTACGCATGGCTGCTGTGATTTTTCTTTCTCAAATAAATGGGAAATTATAAAACTTTATGGTAATTTATCTCAAAAAAAAGAAATTTAAATCTTTAGACCCATCTTAACGATTTCTCCATAAACCGTTTTTAATTGTTTTAACAAATTATTCCGTTACTTTTGAAAAGCACTGTATAGCAAACATTCACCTAATAACAGGTGAATGGGGCTTTATGGGGCGCTTTATGGTTTTTCATTGATTATATGGCCTCAACCACTTCGACGCAGGTAGGTTCAGGATTCGGTGTTGTGATGTTGGAGCATCTCCAAACATGCCGTCTTCACCCTTGCCGCTTCGGCTATCAAATTACCATCTCTGTACAAAACCATAGTTGTACGGACTTGGAATCTCTTCTTTTCATCCTTTATACCAGTGGTGTCCATAACGTCGATCGCAAAGCCGTTTTCAGTCAAATGCCAACAAATTCATAAATCTAAAATATCTATATCTGGGCCTCAGAGCCAAAAAAAACCAAGGAAAGTTACTTTTAAAATGTAAAAAAGAATTTTAAACCCTTCGGTCGATCTTGGCAAGACATTTATATAAAAAGTAGATCTTGATCAAAAATTAGTGGACACCACTACTTTATACGGCTATAGATTTCTCTGATATTTTCCTCGATGACCTTCACCTTTTGTTCTTCCCATACACGCTTCTTCTTGCGGCATACCTGCGATGTCTTCGTTCTCTCTCTAATGAAAATAACTCTGTTTGCTTTCGTCAGATGCTGCATCATTTTAGCTCTGGCTGGATTTAACGGCCAGTCTGCACTCATCATTAAACTGAAAAATAACAAATTGTTCTCTTTTTATGGTTCTTTAAAGCCATTTATATCTTCTGCTCCTCATCATCTGTTTCCCGATATTTTTCATTGCTTACCCTCTCACGGTAGGGCTCTCTCAATGTTATGTCTGTTTTGAGTTTCTGAGCATCGTAGGCTGGGTTACGATGACTCCACCATTAAACATCGTGTAGTGCCGTGATTTCAGCGTATCTGTTCCTTTCCATCGCACTTCTTGGAGGATCCTCCTCGACGTCATCTTGCCAACGTTTTCAGCCCTGTAATCGACGTTTCAGCCCTGAGCAGAGTGCAAACATTCCATGTTCCAATCTCTAATGTTCTTTCCCTAAGCAAAAGTCGTTTCCGGGTATCCATCGAATTTCCGAGGCTTGGATAGCCCTACACACAGCTCCCATACCGAAGGACAAGGGTTTTGATTTCAAAGTGTCGGAACTAATGCTTGGGGTCGAAGAACTAGAAGAAGCTAAAAAATGTCTAAATGCGATTCTGCATATCTGAAATACAAGGTGGCTTTAAAGTAATGTTACCTCTGCCCCAAAGGATTTTAATGCCGACAAGAGACCGTCCTTGTTTAACATGTTATTCCCTAGATGCCACGAAATAGATTCATGAGGCCCAAATCTGTGGGAAAAGCAATAATGTAACTCAAAAAAGCCGTTTCAACGTTTCAGGGAAATCCATTATACATAAATCTGTATAGGTAGGATCTAATCGCCACTTGTTTGATGTCGGTCGACAGACCCTCTTTACGATTTTCCACATCCGTGCAGCAGAATGTCCAGTAATCGATTTAAATTACTGTTCACTCACCAAATGGCATTTACTTTGTGATGCAGTTTTTAATTTTCCTTTTACTTCCTTTTTATTCCCTTTTACAGATTATCTGTTTCACAAAAAAAAAACATATAAAAACTTGCAATTCTTTGTGTATCGATATGATGCCTTTATCAACGACTTTCCAGTTGTTTTGTTAAGATTCCATTTTGGTGACTCATCGTTTTTGAGGTGTTGCAATTTTTTTGGCACGTAGTGGAAGTACTCTTATCGGAAGGTGGTTCTTTGCAATGAAAAAGAATTTTAAACGAAACCTATACTTCCTTCTACCTTTTGTATTCATAATTGTAATTCAAACTTCAAACGCTTTTCTTATACTATAAAATTTCTAATGCAACGCACAATATTATCTTATTACATTAATAATTTTTCAGCACAACTTTTAGTTCCTTGGGTAGTATTTTCTTTAATTTGGTCAATTGGGTGTACATGCGATCATAATGGAAGAGATAAATTTTCTCAATGGTTAAGACAAACGATGCAAGACAAAAATCATAAACCACAATTTCCAGCTCCAGGTCTTGTCTATGATTATAGGTATTTTTCTTCAAGTTCTAATATTTCACAAGTAGTTATAATATTTTTTTATGATGTTTTTCATTGTTGCTTAGCACTATTTTGAACCACTAATATAAAATATTTATTTCAACACCAACTTAATTGTTTGTTTCTTTTCTTAATTAGACTTCATGATGGTGGTTTTACAGTTCCAACTGATGATGGTGATCCGAAACCACCAAAGTGGCAAAATTGGATGGATGGTGTCGAAGAAATAAAAATAACTGTAGATATGAAATATTCAGATATGGAAGTGGCAACGATTCATTCAATAAGAAATGCTGAATTATTAGGAATGATCGTGTTGAACGAAGGTAACGTTTTATGTGTTGGCCCAACTGGTACCGGAAAAACTTTAACTGTAATTGGAAAATTGAGTAAAAACATGCATAAAAAGTTTATTTGCGATTTTATAACGTTTTCGGCGAGAACCTCCTCAAATCAAACCCAAGATTTGATCGATTCGAAATTAGATAGACGAAGGAGGGGTGTTTTTGGACCGCCTGTATTAAAAAGACAAGTGTTTTTTATTGATGATTTTAATATGCCGGCTTTAGAAGTTTACGGAGCTCAACCTCCAATTGAGTTAATTCGACAATGGATGGATTTTAGTGGTTGGTATGATAGGAAAAATATTGGAGATTTTCGTACAATTATCGATGTTAATTTCGTTGCTGCAATGGGACCTCCCGGTGGAGGTAGAAATCCGGTCACTGCACGTTTACTAAGACATTTTCATTATTTGGCTTTCACCGAACTGGAAGAGCAAAGTAAAGAAAAAATATTTGGAACTATTCTTAATTTTTGGATGCATCGAACTCCGGATCAGGAATCATTCACCACACCCTTACTTAAAGCAACATTAAACGTTTTTACCACCATTCTGCATGAACTTTTGCCCACCCCCGCTAAAACTCATTACACGTTCAATTTGAGGGATTTAAGTAAAATTTTTCAAGGAATTTTAATGATGGCTCCGGAATCCGTACAGGTAAATATAATTATAATTACAAAAATAGTAAAGTAAAACCACTGAATTTAATACGCACACCCGTCGTGCCGTTTAACCGGAAGAATCTTTTGTAGCTTCTTAATTAAAAATTTTAGTTTGACTTTCAAATAAAATTACTTATTTATAACACGAAAATGTACACAAATTTGCGTATAATTGTTTAAGATAATTATTACGAATAAACAGCAGAAATTATGTCGGAAAAAAGCTTTACGAATCTGCCTATTTATTGCTTAATTCAAAGCTTGAAGGGACTATAAATTAATTTAGGTGGAATATTGATAGGGTGTTAAACGTGAACTGATTTGTTAATGAAGTTAAGAATCGATTGAAAATATTTGTTTAGAATTTAGAATTAGGAAATGTTTTCAAAACAACTATGTTAAGAGAATATTTGAAATATTTTAATTTTTGTTTGCAATAAAATAGTTTATAAATGTAGATGTATTGTAAGTACATCCTTGGATTCAGAAAAAAAATCTCTATCCAATGACGTGAAAAAAAATATACCGAGCAATTTAAAAACCAAAAGCTGATTATTCCAAGATGTCGCTGATAGATGGCGCTGGAAAAAATTTATTTGTAGCCTAAAACGTAGTATTCATGATACCATTTCATCTAGTGCCTGGTTCAAAAAAATCGGAATATAAATAACAGAGTTACAGCTTGTGGAGTTTTTTATCTGACACCTGTATATATTCCATAGTTTTATATGTCTTACACAGGATGGTTCATTTAACGTGCGACAAGCGATTATCTCGAAAACGGTTCATTTTACATAAAAATGAACGAAATGAAAGTTGTTCTGTGCGAAGGGGAAAACCATATAACGATAATATTTTTTGAATTTTTGAAAATTGATTTGATTTTCCAGGTTATATGAAGGTCACGACTAATTTTTTAAATGGCACCCTATATATTGTATTGTAAAATCTGAATCTGTGGATAAAAGTAAAGTAATTAAATAAAAAAATAAAAATATTGTACTGTGTGGTTTTGCCAGTACATCGGCAAAACATCTTTTGAAAAAAAATTAAACTTCTTCAGAAACAATTAACTAACGTTTATAATCTAGCAAGAACAAATAAGATTTATGAATTTTTAAACATTTTCCTACCCGCTGCGATACATTGTCTTTAGTTCTTAATACTTAGAATACTATTTAAGAATGCTCTACAAAAAAAATCCAGAAGAGGTACATCGGGGGTTACTTGGCTCGTCGGAAATACCTTTGGAAAGAGATCTAAAAGGTTCCGACATTTCTCCGCCTTTGTCAATTTCATAATAGAATAACGCATAAAAAACAAGAGTTCGTGGAACTGCTTATCTCGCCATTTTCAGAATATCGCTTTCAGAAACTGCATTGGTTGGTTGAATTATTTTAAAATGTAACAGGTAAAATTAAATTTGCATAAAAACTGCTTGGCAACAAATTCTGAATTATTAATAATAATAATACATTTATTGAGATACCAAATGTTACAGACAACAATAATAAAAACAAATAACATATAAAACCAAATAAAAAAATTACGATGGTATTTCTCAAAAGGAACTGCGTCAGTGCTAACGCAACACTTTGCGATAGACTGGTTTTCAACAGCCTCCAAATTTGAAACAAACAATATTTATTCAATAATTAACAAAAATAATATTCAAGAAAAGAAAATAATGTACAAACAAAAAATAAGGTTACAATAAGAATTATGTCACCAAATGCGTATCATTTCCAACTAGCCGAAAGTCGAAAAGTTTATTAAACAAATGCTATAAGATAAGAAAATAGACAAATAACAATGCATTTATATCAGACCACAAATCGAACTGTCGCATACTTAAAAGGGACTTAACTTGCTTTTTATACGTTAGTGTTCCCAAGGCTGGGTTTACATGGTCGCATATATATATCATTATTCATTAAACGGAAATGGTACGCAATATGAAAACCTTTTAAATATTTGAAGTCTATGTCTCGGAATGGTATCAGTTCTGAATCTAATTCTATTGTACAGAGTCCGCAACTTTCTAGATAGAAAGCCGCAACTTTCTATCTAGAAAGTTGCGGCTTTCTATCTTTCATAATAACTGAGATACCCTGCAAACCCATCGAAATTTGGACACCCTGTACAAGTAAGGTGGACTTTTAAATTTTAATATTTTATGATAGAGGCAGACACAATCTAATATTCTGCGATTTTCCATATTCAACCAACGCGCCCAAGTTAAAGTATGTGAGATATGATCACCTCTTCGGATTCCAAATATAAACCGTAAACAAGCATTTTGCACCTTCTGGATACGAGCACTGTCAACGCGATCTAAGTAGGAACAGGTGGTCACCATAATTAAAAATTGACAAGATAAGTGTGTCACATAACTGAAGCCTCAGTTTTCGGTTTAAAAGATGCTTGCTGCTATATAAGACTTGTGTTTACATGTTCTTTAAATCGGAGGGAAGAATCTATTGTGACACCCAAGTTAGACGCTGTACCAACAATTTCAATCCAATTATTCGAAACAAAAATTTCTAGTTCTTCCCGAGCACGGCCAGCAACATTCCTACCCCTCAATACAATAGCAGATGTTTTTGCAGCATCAATGTTAAGGCAGTGACTTTTAGCAAAACTAATAAGAGACTGTAAATCACGATTTACACGAATTTCAGCCGCCCGAATGTCACTCAAATCAAAACTACAATATAACTGTGTATCATTTGCGTACATGTGAGGTTTGCAAAATTCCAATGAACTGAACAACTTTAGAGTGTAAATTAGATAAAGAAGAGGGCCCAATATTGATCCTTGGGGTACTCCAAGCTTCTCTTTAGATCTTTTGTCATTGCAGACAACTACCTGGAATCTTCCTGACAAGTAAGAATTGAATAATTGTATAGATCGCTCTAATAACCCAATAAAATGTAAAATAAATAGCAAGGTTTTATGGTGAAAGGTGTCGAAAGCCTTAGAAAAATCAAGTAATCATGTTAGAATCTACAGCATGTATGATGTCCTCAGTAACATCGAGGAGAGCAGTCGTACAACTATAACCTGGACGAAATCCAGACTGAAAAGTAGAGAACATATTGTATTCATCAATATGACACCATAGCTCAGCTGAGACAAGACGGAATAATGCTAATAGGGCGCAAATCCAAAACCTGACCCGGATTGGCAACCATGGTAATTGGAATAGGTTTAATTATGGCAATCTTCCAAGCAGCTGGAAACACTGAATTCCTGAAAATACAATTAAAGATATCACACAAAAAAGGAAGTATCACAGGGCAGCACAAGATCAACATGTTTATGCTGATACCATCTGCTCCGATCGCATCGCTTCTGATTGATCTTAAAGCATTAGCCACCTCATCAGAAGATACAGGTTCAAAGTCACCTGCTCCAACACATTTGAGCTGTAATAATCAATCATCTCAGAATCACCAGCAGCCTGGGACTGTGCAGAGGTGAAATAATCATTAATAACATCCACATCGCCAATAGAAGCAGGGACAGTCAATGGTTTGCTATGAACCACATTCAACGACCTGAAGCTCTTCCATAAATCACGGGGAGGCTTATTATTCAACACATGCTCCAAGTATGCCTTTTTCTCTCGTTTAATAGCACTATTCGCAAAGTTTCTTAGTTGCTTATAATAATTAAAACTGGCAGTACTTTTAGTTCTCTTGAATTTATTGTAGGCTTTATCACGAAGTTTTATTAAATATTTAATATTAACTGTAATCCACGGTTTAAATTCTTTTCGAGCAACAAAAGAACACCTAGGAGCATGCGTATCAAACGACAACGTAATCAGATCATTGAAAAACAGCAATTTATCATTGACATCATTAAGTTCAAAAATAAAGTACTACGGTAGACAACATAAATCAACTTTAAATGCCTGAGTATCGAAATATTTGAAAGATCTACAAGAAATGATTCTAGGACCAGACGAGATACCAACATCTACCGTGAACTCAACATATATCATGTTATGGTCCGCCACATTATGAATAGGAGTAACTCCAGAGTTAAGACCCTGCAATTCAGATGCGACCATTAAAAACTCAATCAAACTGGCACTATCTCCTAGTACTTGGTTAAAAGATTCGATCACAGGAATCAGACGATTCCTACGTACGTACCAGTCACGAGCATACCATTTATATTAAAGTCACCCATGCAAACAAACCTGTCAGACTCGGGAACAAATGTGGACAATACATCTTCAAATTCCTCAAAGAAAGTACCAAGTGGACCCGGGCGTCTGTAAATGCAACCAAAACTAAAAGTATTGCCTCCAATATACACACTAACCCAAATATGTTCGATATTACGAGAGATCATACTCAACCTTGTACTAAATTTAAATTGTGACTTAATGAAAAATCCGACCCCACCACCACCGCCACCATTACGAGGTCTATCAATAAAAGTAAATTGGTATCCGTCAATACGAAAGAAGGAAATATCACTGTGCACATACATCCATGATTCTGAAACAGTAAAGGCATCATAATCATTATCTATAATTATATCTTTAATAGTATGAAAATGTAGAGGCAAGGAACGTACCTTTAAATGAGCGACTCTCATGTTTGAGTAATAAACTAAAAGCAGAGTTGGAAAAGCACACAGTACAACTCAAAAAAAAACTAAACACACAAAAAAAAATGAAAAAAAATTGAATACAACAAAAATAGTAATAATTATTATAACCAAAAGAAAAAAAAACTCTAAGTGAACAGTAGTGAACAGCAGATGTACTCACAACGGAATGCCACGGTGTACAATTTAATAATTCCAAATATAACAATTTAACTTAATTTACTCTCTTCTTAGAGCGGAGTTTCATTTTATTCGAAGTTTGTTGGTAGTTAGTATTCAGGGACTCCAGCTCATCCTTATGAACGACCGTGCGAAACTTTTTATCACCTAAGTTTATATATATCTTGGCGTCTTTTGTTCACACTTCCCCGTTACAAAAATATTTTTCCGCTTCCTTAAACAAGAGTAGACGCATTTTAGAGAGCGATTCCGTGATTAATATATTTTCTCCCTTAAGGTTACTTTTATGAAGCCAAATTTGATTCCGATTTCTATATGACACAAATTTAATAATTATAGGTCGATTGGGCCTGTTTGGAAATTTTTCCCTATTCTGTGACATCTATCGATAATGGAAACATGTTGATTCCAGTTCGGTATTTTCAATTTTTTTTTTATTCCATCAGTTTACATTAAGGCAAATTGTTTAAACTAAGTCATTAAATCATCGATACTCTAAGTGTGGCAGAAAAAGTCGAAATGATTTTTATTTATGGAGACAGTGACATAAAGGTTGCTGATAGTATAGTTTTGTATCAAGAACGTTTTCCTGGTCAAAATACGCCTTCGAGAAATACCTTTTACAGAGTTGTGAATGATTTCACTAACACTGGAAATGTGGAATCAAGAAAAAGAACTCGGCGAGCAACTGTAATTACGGAAGAAAAGGAAATTGCGGTATTAGCTAGCGTAGAGGTAAATCCTCCAGTTAGCACTCGACGACTTGCAAGTGACGCCGGAATATCGAAGACCAGCCTTTTAAGAATATTAAAGCGCAACAAGTATCACCCATACCACATTTCATTGCATCAACAGCTTTATGGAGGTGATTTTGAAAATAGATTAATATTTTGTCAATGGGCACAAGAACGAATGCGGGTACTCTCGGATGAGGCAAGTTTTGCAGACAAAGAACAAGTCAATAGACACAACATGCACTATTGGAGCGTTGAAAATCCGAGATTGTTACTTTAATCCGAGATACTTTATTGATCGTATGCTGAATGGGGAGAAGTACCCAAATTTTTTAGATGACGTGTTACCAACTTTACTTGTAGATTTGAGCAGGGAAGAAAGACAAAATATGTGGCTGCGAAATAATGGGTGTCCAGCACATTTTTCACATATTGCACGTGAAGCTTTAGATGGGGATTTTGCTGGGCGATGGATTGGAAGGGGAGGTCCAATTTCCTGGTCTGCCAGATCACCTGATTTAACACTTCTTGATTTTTTTTGTGGGGCGTCCTTAAGAATAATGTTTATCGCAAAGTACCGACTACGCCAGAAAACATGAACGAGCGCATAAGAAATTTGGTTCATTTTTTTGTAAAATTTACATAATTTTACGCCATTTAAATTTTATTCAAATCTGATTTCAATTTAAGATGACATGGTTTTTCCTTCAGAAAACTAATGTTTTTTAATTGTTCTATTTTTCTGAAATATTTCTTACGGTTCCTGACGCTTGTCGCTGAAGATGGGAATGTAATTCCCGAAACATGTACGACTGTATATTTAAATAAAGCAAGTAGAAGTTATTTTATTATTTATTCATTAACTTGCATCATGGATTCCAATATAAAAACTATTAATGCTGGAAATGGATTAATGGCGATGATCAGCTAGGGTATCCAGTATGAAAGATAGAGTAAGTAACGAAAAAATGTAGGAAATAATGAAGGTGGAGAAAGCAATAATAGAGCACACTCAACAAAAACAGCTGATCTGGTACGGATACGTACCGACAGAAAGGAGGACGCAAGGAAAACCAAAGGTTTTCTGTATAAAAGACAATCCTCATATATCCCCAGAGGAAAAACTGCAATGGAGTCAAATCCAGTAATCGTGGAGTCCATACGATTGGACTACCTCAGTGAAAGTGAGGGGGTGCGCCGTCATGCTTAAACCATATGAGTGGCATGAGAGTTTTCGTCTGTTCAGACATGGCTGTTTCGAGAATTGAGAACGCAATCCCTACTAAAATGACATTCATCTGTGATGTGAATGCACCATGGAAATAGGGGCTCGTTGATGCAGCGGTACAGATACCACGCAAGAACTGAACACGTGGTGCAAAATCACCTGGCAATAGTGAAAGTATCCTTTGGAGGTGGTATGAACATTCCAGACATATATACTTGTAAAATTGCTTGGAGGACCATCCTTCCTCAGCTTTATTAGGTTACTTCAGTGATGGAGATATTTCATTTACTTTTTTCGTAGCCTCCAGCCATGCTAAGTTTTCCCTTGTAGTTTTTCGTATTCACCCTGCTGTACCTCTTTATTCTCAATACCTTCTAATATTTTTATGAATTATCTATTTCAATCCATTACAGCTATTTGACTTGATATTTTTTCATTTCAATTACTTCTACAGTTCACACAGATAAACAGCCTATTTAAAGCTTTTAATAATAAAATTTATCAAAGCAATAAATTTGAATCACACAACTTAATTAAAACCACCAATTAATGTAAGATTCGCAATCTCACGTAACAATTTTTAGAAGCGAATAACTAGAAAAGAAAATCGATCAAATTAAATTTTATTCTATTAGAAGCGAGTTTTAATTAAAAATAGTAATCACATTATCTTCACAAGCTCCTATGCATTTCCATTTTTATTACGGTTTGAAACTTGGGGATTAATTGAAATAAAATTCATCTTCATTAAACGATGGATTCAATAAAACTTTGTTAAATGAAATCATAAAATTGTAGGATTTCTAGAACTATCAATTTATTGCATAAAAGTATAGTTTTTATAAGTTTGATGATTGATTGAAATCAAACCTGATTGATTGGCATTATTTTAAAATTATAAACTTCTATATAAACTAGATTTAAATTTAGAATTATATTTTTTTGAATTTTAGGATTTAAATCACATAATTCGTTTGTGGTACCACGAAAACTGTCGAGTTTTCCAAGATCGTCTAATAAACGACGCCGATCGCGATTGGTTTGCCAATTTATTAAAATCAAAAATCGATCAAGATTTTAAGCAAAGTTCCGAGGAAGCTTTAGGACCTGAAATGATTCTTTTTGGAGATTTCTTAGACCCGACCAGTGATGTTCGAAATTATATGGAAATTACTAATATGACAAAAGTAAGTGTTAACTAGATCAACAAAGTTTTTGATAAAATTCTATTTTTATTATTAGCTTTCGTCCGCTTTAGACTTCTACTTGAGCGAGTACAATAACCAAACAACCAGACCAATGAAATTAGTACTATTTTTAGACGCTATCGGTCATATTTGCAGAATCGCTCGTATTATTCGACAACCGATGGGGAATGCTTTGCTTTTAGGAATGGGTGGATCAGGTTATAAAACGACGTTTATGTTCTTGCTGATTAAAAAATCTTTTTTGTTTAATAGGAAGGCAAAGTTTAACTAGACTTTCCGCCTACATGAGTGATTATGCATGTTTCCAAATTGAACTGACTTCAGCTTACAGTGGAACCGATTGGAAAGATGATATTAAAGGTGTAATGTTACAAGCTGGATTATATAATAGCGCGACAGTGTTTCTATTTTCAGATACACAAGTAATGTATATAAATTATATTATAATTATTATTAGTTTTAATAGGTTTGTTAGACTATAGTGGATACAATTTATGCACATATGAACACCGAGACTTCTTTGCTTTCAATAGTGGCAAGGAGTATCTTACGCCATTACATTGACACCAGAGTACCAAGCCCAAATTGGCAGAAATCCAGACGTTTTCTTTTAGAACAAATGAGATTTTATCGAGCAATTTAGCAATTGAAGTGCACCTATTAGTGGAACTATTAGCCTGAAAGGAGAATGGATGTGAATACGAATAAAAGAATTAGTAACTTCTTACCTCCTACATCATGCCTAAATGAATCTCTCAAACCGAGCAACAAAAAAGGAACGTTGAGTGGCATGTTGATAAAAAACGAGATATGGAAAGCAACAGTCCCAGAACAATAAAACAATTTACCCTAGAAGAGTATTAGCTAACAAAACCAGTAACCTTATCAAAGACGACCTCAGTACTTCAACAAAGCTCTAGTGGGATAAATGAACCACAGAGACCCGTCGAAAGCATACCTCGGCCAATGTTTATTCAAAATATAAAGCTCATAAAACCACTGTATCAACTGCTAAATGAAATAGCCCCTCAAAAATACTCTGAAAGATCTTGATTGATCGATCCAATTAAATTCCAAGTAAACACCACGGATACTTAATCAAAAGTTAGTGCTGCATTAATGGAAAAGAAAACTCAATATCACATATATCAACTCAAAAAGGTCGTAGCTGAAGATCGTAACTTCAGAGTGATGGTCCATAATATTCATCCACAGAACGGAATGATCTAAAGAAAGGAATATAAAACCTTGGCCATCAAGTTAAAAGTATATCAAGTATATGAAAGAGAAACATCAAAAAGGCATTACCTTTGTTCAATGTGGAATTGTTTCAAGATGCACCAAATAACAAAAAATGATAGATACATTAGTGATAATTGAACCCCCTAACCCAAAATAGAAATTACCTCAATGCTTAAGATGTCAACACTTTGGACACATTCGAAAGAATTGCTTTAGAGAACCTTGCAATATCGAGGAGAAAAAAAGCAATAATGTGAAATGCGAAAGCTGCGGAGAAAACCATCCCGCCACCTGTAAATGTTGAGCCGTTTATAAAGAGCTGTAGAAGAAAACATTCTCCACATTGCGAAAGAACATAAATACTAACATAAGCTTTGTTCATGTTACATCTTAATCTGCTGATGAGAAGGCTCAAAAAGCTCAATGGAGCTATCATCAAGCTTCATCAAGGCTCAATGAAGCTATCATCGCCATCGCTAAACAACCTAGAGCAAATAATCAATAAAATGATGGAAAAAATACATTCAATAATATTAAAGTTGGAGCCAGGTACGCTAACTGACTGATGAATCATTTACAGGAACTCAAACTGTTTATAACCAAACATAAACGCGATCTCATGCTTATCTCTGAAGTGCATATGACAAACAAGGTTTTTTTTCAAAATGACAAACTACTCGCTATATGTTACGTTAAAAATCTCATTAAACACATTGTAATGGAAAAGGTGTTCCAGCCAAATATCCAAGCTACATTTGTAAGCATAGACGATTGGCACGGTTTCTGCCAGTATCTCAACGGATGACTTTAACACATTCATAACGGCTGGAGACTATTATGCTAAACACCACTAATGGAGTTCTATCATAATTACACCAAAAGGCAGAAAAGTATTAAATTCAGTTCAAAAAATGGACTGACATATCAAGAATTCCCGACACCATTAATTTTTACATGATAAAAAAAGAATTGCATATCAATAGCCCAGTCCTCTGCACGCAGGACTTTAAACTCTTTTCTTATAACAGGAGCACCAATTGGCAGGTAGTCAGAGATGTCTTAAAGATACCTTAATCGACACCCAAATTCCCCTCAAATCTAGGGGTGATGTAGAAACAGCGATCAGAAATTTAACCCTACATATTCAGAAAGCTGCATGGGCTGTAACATCGACACCTAGACACACAAACGGATTGAATACTGAAAAGAAAGTTAAAAAAATGACTCACCTCACCGCACAACCAAACTCAATGCAAATGTGCCGCTCGTTAAGAAATGCCCTATTTGCATTAAAAAAAAATATCCATATGACGTTACTTGGAATGTCTTAACAAATTCAGCTAAGACAACGTGATATGAATTATCCGATCAGAATGCAAAATGGGAAATAGGCAAGAAGCGATGAAGACAAGGTTCGCACATTTGTAGAGTATATAATTTCAGTCTTCCAACCTCACATGAGAAAACTTTCATCTATTGAAGAAGAACTCGTAGTGTAGACCAACAGTAGAGAGTAGACCATCTTGGAGTGATTACAAGTTTGAAACCTAGAAATGCCCCTAGTTACGATTTCATTACAGGGCATATATTGAAGCAAGTACCTGATAAGGAAATCAGGCTCATTACTTACTACGCTTACATTTTTAATGCCATGCTCCGATTCGAATACTTCATACTCATACTTTGCCCTATCAGTTTGCTTCCGGCACTTAATAAGGTATTCGAAAAAATGCTGCTAGTCAAACTCCATCGTTATCTGAAAAATATAATACTTCAGAGAACAGCACGGAACTATTGAACAGGTACATAGAATCATCAAAACGGTGAGATAGGTATTCGAAGAAAAAAGCTATTGTACGCTGGTATTCTTCAATATGTCGCAGACTTTCGATAAAGTCTGGCATTATGGCTTATAGAGTAAACTTAATAAGCAACTACCTCACCAATTCTATTCCCTATTGGGATCATATTTGGAGGAGAGACCTTCTTTGTCCCACAGGAAGGTCTACCCAATATTCTACCTATACGTGCTGGAGTCCCACGGGGCAGCGGTTTGCTATAAATGCGTTTTGCAGCATTTATACCACCGCAGCCACATACGCTGATGATACTGTTTACTTGGCCTTACATAGGGATCCTGAAAATGCTTCTTACTATCACCAAAAGCACTTATTCAAACTGGGCGAATGGACTAAAAGCGAATAAAAGTAAACAGCAATATATCTGCACAAGTAAAAGAAAGTAAGTCCACAAGTAAGACTAGACAATGTTCCCCTCCCAATTCAAACTGAAAGTAAATACTTGGGAATCCATTTAGACAACGATTTAAGTTGGGAAAAATGCACTTGTACCCAGAGGTTTCAATTGGGAGTTATATTGAAAAATGTATTGGTAAATGAGAAGACAATCATACCTAAGTATAGAAAATAAATTGCTTCTGTTTCATTCCATTCTAAACTTTACATAGACGTATGATGCGCAGGTCTGGGGACTGTCAATAAGAACCATATACAAAAAATACAACGTTTTCAGTCTAAAGTAAACGACAAATAGTTGAGGCATCATGGCACGTAATAAGCAAAGTGGTCCATGATGACTTAGACATACCACTGATTACGGATGTCATCTCACACCATCCCTGACGCTATGGCGAGCGCCTAAGAAGTCATCCAAATGTACTGGCCCGAAATCTGACAGAACAGCCCGGCTTGAGACATATAAAAAGGTCACATCCTGCGGACCTTTTACAATAATTCTTCTTCACTGCTTCATCTTCACATATGATAGTACACCCACTGTGTTACTTTTGTCATTATTATAATTATTATTTATTGTGAACCAAACATTATTTAATTGTCTAGGTGTTGAACCTAGCAATTAGTTTCTTTGGTCTTCAATGGTATATTGATGGTATTTGATATCCATTATCTCTTTGGAGTTGATTTGTTAATAGATGATGATCGTTTATTATTGTTTTCGACTTCCATTGGTGCTCCATTGATTCGGATAAAACATTGGGCGAAGTGGTAATGTCACAGGTGCTATAAATCTATCTATCAGGGCTGGTCTGATGATGTTCCATAAATGTTGCGGTTAGTTGTCTTGTATTGGAAAGGAAACGTTGCTTTTGCTTATTATAGTTTGTAATTTCAAGAGCATAACCTTCTAAATTTAATTTACCTCTTTCTATATGTAAAATGAAGAAGTTGTGCACAAAGCAGTTCCTTTCATATCTATATTAATTGATGTTTTTTCTTTTAAGATTAAATCCGAATCGTTTTTGGAAGATTTAAACAGCATATTAAATTCGGGTGATGTTCCAAATATTTACGCATCTGATGAACTCGATAAAATATTTCAAGAAATGAAAGCTCTCGTAACTGAGATGGGTTTAGCGGCGACCAAATCAAATTTATTCGCCGTTTATCAAAAATGTGTTCGAATAAATTTGCATACAGTTATATCAATGAGGTATATAAATTTTATTTTATTCATAAACTTGATTTTTTTTCATTTTTTAGTCCAATTGGAGAACTGTTTAGAGCACGCCTCCGTCAATTTCCAGCTTTAGTAAATAATTGCACTATCGATTGGTTTAGTGCATGGCCCGATGCAGCCTTACAAGTAACTTTAAGAGAAATTTACTTTGTACAAACAACTAAGTTCATTACCGTTTCGTTTCAAATAGTCTGTTGCTTTACAATTTCTGGAAGAAATTCCCGACCTAGATGTTACCCCGGCAGTGTTTCAAGGAATCGTCATTATGTGCCAATTTATGCACGCTTCAGTCGTCGACGCAAGTTCCCTTTACCTACAAGAACTTTCCAGACACAATTACGTAACACCAACACTTTATTTACAATTACTTTCAAGTTATACCGATTTAATGGTGAAGAAAAAAACTGAACTTGAAGAGGGTGTAAATCGATTAAAAATAGGTTTGGAAAAATTGCAAAACACTTCTAAGGAAGTATCAACTTTACAAGAAAACTTGGTTATAATGGCACCAGCTTTGGCAGAAGCCGCGAAAGAGGCCGAAGAAATGATTGTTCAAATCGCCGCCGATACGCAAGTTGCCGAAGAGGTCAAAGCGGTCGTCGTGAAAGAGGAAGAAGAAGCCACTAAAAAACAAATCGCAACCTCCGCAATTGCCGAAGACGCGCAAAGAGATTTAGCCGCCGCTTTGCCAGCTTTGGAAGCTGCTGAAAAAAGTTTACAATCACTGAATAAAGGTGATATTAGTGAAGTTAGAACAATGAAAAGACCACCGCAAGGTGTTATTTATGTCATTGAATCAATTTGCATTGTAAAGGGAGTTAAACCAAAAGTAATTTTTTATTGGCTTTCAAGTAAGCATTTTTAACTATATAATTTTTTTTAAATAGATGGTGGCTGGTGAAAAGCCAGGACAAAAAATTGCGGATTATTGGGAACCAGGAAGAAATTTGTTAGGTGACCCAGGTGCTTTCTTACAATCATTAATATCTTTCGATCGCGATACAATAACAGATGACATGATTAATAAATTGCAAAAATACGTTGAAGATCCCGATTTTGAACCGGCGAAAATCGCAAAAGTTTCAAAAGCTTGTACTTCATTGTGCATGTGGGTTCACGCGATGTATAAATATTATTTTGTAAATAAAATTGTTGCGCCTAAAAAGGCTGCTTTGGCAGAAGCAAACGCAGAGTTGGCGATAACCGAAAAGAAATTAGCTGAATCACAAGCGAGAATGCGTGCGGTAGAAAAACGTTTGGACAGTTTAAATAGAAAACTTCAAGCGAGAATCGATTTTAAAGAAGAAAAAGAAAAAAGTATGGCTGTTTGTGAGGAACGTTTAAACCGTGCTCAAAGATTAATTTCTGGATTAGCTGGAGAAAGAGTTCGATGGATCGAAACTATTGGTATCATTGAAGGACAAATTATTAATGTAACGGGTGATATTTTAATAAGTTCCGGTGCTGTGGCTTATTTAACAAATTTCACTGACAAATATCGACGCGGAATGTTGTCCGAATGGTATCGAGTTTTATCTAATCACAAAATACCTCACACTGAAAATTCCAATCCTGTTAACATTCTTGGAGAAGCGGTTCAAATAAGACAATGGCAATTAGAAGGTTTACCCAGAGATTATCTTTCAACGGAAAATGCCGTTCTTGTTTCTTGTTCGAGAAGATGGCCATTATTTATTGATCCACAAGGACAAGCCAATAAATGGGTTAAATGTATGGTAAGAATTAAAAAGAATAATCATAATTTTTTTTTAATATAGGAAGTAGAAATAAAACCGGATATTGTATAATTTCATTGATAGCTTCATCATAAAAATGAGACGTCTTGTTTTATAGGCGTTTTTTTATTATCATTATAGTGAGCTAAAAATAATTCGTCTACAAAAAAACATATTATGTTTCTTTTATCCCTCACTTCATAGAATCCTTGACTACTTTTAGATAATAATAGAAAGAATTTTATACCTTAATCTTTAAATAAAGATATTTTTAAGATATAAGATATCGGTAACATAATTGTTGGTTAATGCGAAGTTGGAAACTCATTGTGAATGAAAATGTCTTACTCGGTGCCTTTTGTTAGGGAATAAAAATCACCTATACATATAAATTTGTGTCTTCTACTCCTGTTTTCGTATGACTCATAATGAAGGCATCGTCTGCATACGCAGCCAGTTTTAATGATTTGCTGGTCAGCAAATTTTCTCTTCCGATATTCATTTGCTTACATTCAATACCACCCATGCTTCAGTATTCTCGATTATAGCTTTATAAGCCGTATTAACTTAAAACTTAAAATGTTACATACGTCTAAGTTATATGCTCAGGCTTTGTTAAGGATTTTTTTACCATGAATATATGATCAATTGTCAACTTACCCCATCCAAAACCGGTTTAGTATTCATCAATAACGGTATATCTGATATAGGTTACAATCTCTCATTGATGATGTATATGATATAAACACCTTGCGTGCCGTCTCTGTACCCAACCCAACCAAGATTCGGTGGTAGTTCTTACAGGCAAGCTTATCACCTTTTCTATAAATGGGAGATATGATGCTTCGGTGGGGGGTAACCACCGAACTTATATAATTCGAAGGGTACGTTATCTGCTCCGGGTACTTTATTGTGTTTTTAGGCTTATATAGCTTTGGTGATCTTTTCTAACGATGGTGGTTTTATTTGTATTCTCTTTCCGTGTCAGTTCTCTCCCATCCATACTATAAAACTGGCATAGATCCCAATAGATTGTGGTCAACAATACTATTGTTTCGTAAAATATTTACGTTTGTCCAGCACTATTTGGCGCTCCTTATTCTTGCACAGACTGGTTTGAGGTTTATCCCAGGTCTTAATTTGTTTAGGTATTGTTCCAATTTCATTACTCTCATTCTGTCCATTTACATCTCCTTTAACATACATATCATACAAAAGACATACAAAAGGTTTTTGAAAATTTCGTGTTGTTTTTGATTTATAATTTTGTCAATTTCTTCTTTAATAATTTTTTCCTGGAAATTTCAATAATATTATCATACAGTTTTTATATGTTATCACAAACTAGAATCTTTCAGCTACCATTTAACAAACATGTCATCTTATGATTCTTAAAAATACAGTTGATATGATTTTTTGAAAATTTCATCTTGTTTGATTTATATATTTGACAATTTCTTCTTTAATAATTTTTTCCACGAAATATCAATTATATTAACCTATAGCTTTTATATCATATCATAAACTAAAATCTTTAAGCATCAATTTAATATACATATCATATCTTGATTCTTTAAAAATACAGTCGATATGATTGATTTACTAACAATTTTGTATTATTTTTGATTTATTAATTTAACAATTTTTCTTTAAGAAATCTTTCCTGCAAATTTCAATAATATTGTCTTATAGTTTTTATATCATATCATAAACTAGAATCTTTAAGCTACAATTTAACATACATATCGTCTCATGATTCTTAAAAATACAGTTGATATGATTTTTTGAAAATTTCGTCTAATTTGACTTATATATTTGACAATTTCT